GCCCCATTGTGCTGGTACTGTATAAAATAAAGCTCTGCCTCAGAACCCGACATCTGAAAGACACTAAATAGAACAAGCAGTACCAAGGGTACAGTGTTCCAAAATTAACAAGAAATTTTAGCCGCAGCTCCTATGGGCATTCTTTGTTACTGCAGTTGTTCTCAATCATCCCTGCTGCTTTCTTTTCCCAGGTGACATTGATCCCAACACACGATACTGAGGTAACACGAGAATGGTATCAACAGACCCATGAGAAACAGCAAGAGCTAAACATCATGGTACTGGCAAGCAGCAGCACTGTTGTGATGCAGGACGAATCTTTTCCAGCCTGTAAGATTGAATTCTAGATCTTCCACATTTTGTGTTCATCCATTGATTCTTCAGTCACCGATGCAACATGAGAGACACCATCTAATCACAGTCCAGTTCTTCTCTGGTTTAGTCCTCTACATGGTTCCCATTTGTCAGGCAATCGGGTATCCATCTTGCTCAGCACTGGATGCCGTGAGGAAGAAGTGCAGGGCTCTGTAATTTTCTGGACTGAGCTAAGAGTTTGTGCAAGAGCAGTTGCAGGCCAGGGGCACTTTCACCTTCCCTGCTTTATTCTGCTGCCTGTACAGTTTCTGTAGACTATCTTGGCTGCCTTGCTGCTGTGAGAGCTTGTTCTACTCTCTTCCTGGCTGCCTTGCCATTTAACCTGTAGCACCGTGAGCCTCACCTTTCTGGTGAGGGCTGAAGTGCTGCTGCTGCATGCAGAGTGCATGGGAGGCAGGGGGCAGAGGTGAAATCTAACTTGCAAAGAAATTGCACCAGGGAGACGAGGGAAGACAAAACCCTCTGAACTGTAATGTGACAATGAAGGTCATTCTTCCATCTCCCCTCCTAGGCATACAGGAGGTGTTCTGGGCAAGGGGACCTGTGCTCCTACTAGGCACGACCACACATGCCAGCTTGGCAAATTTGTGTCCCAAGTACTCACCTGTGGCATCCTGCAGCACCTGTTTGCTGTGCTCAGGGAGCTGGGATGAAGGATCACGGCAGTGGGAGGGGAGGGTTCAGCACATTCCTAACCTGCTAACTTGAGCTTCGCACACACAGCAGCCAGCTGACTCCTGCACACCAGCTGTGTGGCAGGAGGAGGCACAGCGAGGCTGTGGCGTAAACAGTTCCACACAAAGAGCATCCAAACGCACAACTACAGCCCCCTCAGCAGCAGAAGGGCTGAGGAAGCCTTGGCCATGCTTGGCCCGGGATGTGGAAGAAACCTCCCTGTGCCAGGCCGGTGGCGAGGCAGCTGAGGGCCTGCGGGGAGGCTGGGGCCCTGTGGCTGTGCTGTGCCAGCCTGCACGCAGCAGCCAGCTCCTCGCTGCCTGTGTGCCAGGCTCCAAGCCTTAGAGTTGTGTTCAAGCTTTTTGTTGTCCCCCCAAGTGTCCAGGATGTGGGGAATGCAATTGTGGTGTGAGGGAAGAGAAGGCCCTTCCCAGCATACTCGGGAAAAAGTAGTTTAGCAAGCGTAGTCATTCTCAGTTCCCTCACACTGTGGCAGGGATGTGTTGTCAGCGCAGGTGAGGTGCTGCTCATCCGTGTGGTGCCACCTTGCAGCTTGCTCCCTGGCCTGTGCATCGCTGTGGGTGTCTGTCCTTGCTCTCTGACGGCCTGGCAGGAGCAGGAGCGTGTGCAGTGAGTGCATTGTGGTGCTGAAGAGCCACCCAGACCCTCCTTGGCACACAGACCCATTTCAGTGTGGGAGACACGTTCTCCCAGCAGGGACTGGGGTGTTCAGGTGCACCAAGCCTGCAGCAGCCACGAGCCTTTGCCACGTCCCAGAGAACTGACAGAGGCTCTTACCACAAAGATAGCTTTTCTGTAAGACAAAGAGAGTGGCAGCAGGCTGTGCTCTGGGAAAGGAGGAGTGAGATGGAAAGCTGTGCTGCAATGGTTGTTAGTCAGCACAAAGTATTTCCATCTGCTGTGACACCCACTGTGCTTGGCCCTGAGCAGAGGGCTGACTCCACCATGAGCATCCTCGGGCCCTGTGTTGCACTAGCCTGGGACACTTCAGTCACGGTGCTAGCTTTCTGGCAGGTGACATGAAGAAAATGCTGCTTAGAAACCTGCTCCTAGCACTAAAATGGAGTTTCTAGGGAAATGGTCTATTTTACATTTTAATTTATATATTTATTTTTTTAACTTTAAGCTGCATTTTGTGTTAATATTTTAATTTATACATGTTAACATGGTACCATGTGCTTTTAGTGTCAGTTCAGAGGTTTTCTCGGTACAAATACTAACATGCTGCAATTTAAACAAATGAAAAGACCATAGAGAACTTGTGGGCAGCAAAAATGTCTCTGCAAGGCGGTGTCTAAAACCCAGCAGCTGCGGGACAAGGCCTGAGGCCAGCAGCCTCCCCAAGGCACAGCCAGCTCTTTGGCTATGGCCCCTGTTAGGAGCATGTGAGCTTACTCAGGGCTTTAGCTAATTCCTGCCCTGTGCTGTGTTCATTTTAACCATGGAATCACACTGTGTCTGCCAACATAATAAATGTCATTCTCTGCACCCCGATGGGGTCAGCATTCATGAATGTTGGTTCTGGCAACTGCAGGCACTGAAACACCTGCCCCTGCCCCTCCCTGGAATGCTGGGGGGCTTTGCCTGCTGTGCTTTGGGCAGACCCTGGCCCACTCGCCGCGGTGGCAGCTGCAGGATGCCAGGCACCAGAGGCACAAGCATGGCCCTCACTGGCTCCTGGGATCCCTCTGCGTAGCTAGATGTAAAAGCTAATGCACTAACTTTAGATAGACACACACATGAATGTTTTCTCAATTTTAAACTTGAAGCAGTTCTGACTAAGCAGCAGTAATAGTGAGGCTTTGTGAGGTACCTGCATCCTCCAGGCAGGAGTGTGGCCACTGGTGGATTCCAGGAGGAACGCTGCCCTCCATGCTCTGCTCCTGCCCTCTGCAGCTCTGCTGCTTAGCTACCTTTATCCTACACCAGTTTGCTTCCCTGTCCTCAAGGCTCCACATTTTTTTTCAGTTTTTGTCGCAGTCTGTTCTGCCTTGAGCTTCTCTCACTCCCTATCTCCCTCTCTCCCCCACTCCCTTCCATCTTAAAAAAACAATGGGGAAAAAAGACTTAGGAAAATGCTGATTCATAGAGTCTGGCCCTGCTCAGGCCACAGGAGCCAGCACGACCCACCTGGAGCCGGAGGTAATACAACACTATAGAGAGAAACAGTTAAACTCTGCTTTTGCTTGTTTCTGCATGTGGGCAACAACGCGTAATCTTCCTGTATGTAATAGGTAAAAAATACTATTTTAAACCTATAATTAAAAAAAGTGAACGTCTTAACTGTATTGAAATGGCATCTTGTGCTCCTAGCTTCTTCTATGCTAAATGTTTTAAGAAGAGAGCCCTGATTCTTTTCTTCAGCATCACATTTCTATTTGAATTTAGTTCCTTGAGTTCTGTCCTTTTGCCCATTTCCATGTGAAACACTGTAACTAACTGCTGTCAAGAGAGGAGCCCAACACATTAAAAATAAAGCCACATTAATTGCGAATGAGAACATCTCCAGTGGTTTCCAGCTGTTCTTTCCGTGAGCCCACAGCCGTGGCTGCTGTGCCACCCTCCCATGCCTCCCAGCTTAGGCGAGCCCCAGCTTTTCCAGCAACACCCCACCTTCACCAGCAGCTGCTGAACTCTGCTGTGACCTGGAAAGGGACATGCACACAAGGGCACAGAGCCTGCCCGGGACAGCCCCTGGCCCCAGCAGGGTAACTGTGGGTCCCTCCTGGGGCACATGTGGGACAGCTGGCCAAGGGCTGCGGGGGGAAAGCAGCTCCTGATAATGCAGTGAGGAGCCTGGCGTGGCCTGTCTGCAATGCAGCACCATCCCTCCTCACAGTTCCAGGATCATGCATTCCATTGCGGCCCTCCACCCGTCCCTGCACTTCTTGGCAATGGCAGCTCTGCCCAGCACTGCTGGCACTCTCTGAGCTGCAAGGGTCTGTGGCAGGCAGCACACCTGCTGGCATGGCACCTGGGCACAGACATGCCAGGGACTCCATGCCTGACCCACTGCAGCAGCTGGGCTTTGGCACCTCTGCAGAACTTCAACCTGACCTCCAACAAGGGAACAATCTTCCAGCTCCTTACCAGAAAACTGGGACAGCTGCTGCTCTGCCTGTGGTGGAACGCAGTCAGGAGAGGCTGATGCCCAGTTAGTTCTGTTCCTGCCTGCCTGTCCTCAGAAGGAAAAAATGGCACAGGTGGGTGCTAGGAAAAAAGAAAGCAGATTCTGTGCTACAGTCCTCAGGAGAGAGGCCATCATTGCCCCAGACCACACCACAGCTAGTGCAGGCCCTGGTGGGGACCTCAGGGCAGCTGCCAAACCTGGTGCTGATGGGAGGAACCATGAGCTGTTACCATAAACCAGGAACTACTTCCACACACAGCTACTTTTCAAGTAAATGACACTGTCTCTGCTAACCAAGGTCCTGTGACTGCAGTGCATTTCCCCAAGGCGTGCAGTGACGAGCACCAGGCTCTGTAGGGTCAGCACCTGAGGGCCACAGCCCCACCCCAGAGGGCCCTTCTCCATGCCCCCCTCAGGAATGAGCCCCTGCAGCAGGCGCTCGTGGGCCCTCCGTGGCAGCCACACTGCCCTGGCACTGTCCCCAGACAGGAACACACAGGTCCTGGCAGGAGACGTGGCTGCCAGAGCAGTGCTGGACACACCATTCCAGTGTCCTCATTCTACCACAAACGCCCCTGAGACCTGGCAAGCCAGGAGCTCTTCCCCAGTAGGACCAGTTCTCCCATGTAGGAAAAAGGAGGTTTTTTCCCTGGCCTGGAGCCTGTGCTTTTCCAACAGGTCTGACTCCAGCCACAGCTGCTCTTCCAGGACAAGAGAGCATGAGCAGGGCTTACTGTTCCCAGCACCTGCAAGCTTTGGCACATACACACTGCTGCCAAGTCAGCATCAGAGACAGAGAGACATTGGACCCACAGCATAGATTTACTGTGAACACACATTGTCACAACACAGCATAGAGATCTTTGGGCACAGCTTCACAAAAACAGAGATCCTAGCTACAGACAGACACGCAGACTTGTCCATAAATACAGGAGGAGTGGGAAGCACAGCCCCCGGCCGGCACTCAGGATGCGGCAGGGACACCCGTATCAATCTTGCCCTCAGGCTTGTGCTCACAAGGCATTTACATAAATATCCATTAAATACTTTTCATTTTATATAATAAAGATTTCTCCTTATTGGTTTCTAATAGTCCTGAATTATCAAAATAGCAGTTTCTTTTAATCTCTGTCACCAAGACCTCAGAGCTGTACCCTGCCTGATCCCTGGGGACAAGAAAAAACAACTGTGTGTATCTTCCCTGCACACCTCTCTCAGGCTGGATGCCCAGGCTCCTGCCGGCCCCAGTCCAGCAGGGAAACATCCAAGGCCATGCCAAAGGGATATTTCCTTGCAAGTGGCAGTCAAACCTGATACCTCACTACCCTTCTTTTCTACACTCATTCAGAATGCTTTCTGCTTTTGCTAGTTTTCCTACCATGGACTCTCTGGACCTGATTTTGGTGGCCAGCAGTGGGATTTCAGAGAGGAAGAAGGAAGAAACAGAGAGGAGGTTGGTGGTTGTGATGGATCTGATAAATTTGGGCCCAGAATGCCTTTCTCTGAAGGCTGTGGGCCAAAGGGTCAGGAGGAACTGTCCTCTTTGGACTTACCACCCTAAAAGCCTTGGCTGTACCAGTCCTCTAATGCTGCTGTCCCAGTGAGCACAAAGCCCTTGGGACACCAAGGCAGCACCATGTCCCTGCTCCATGAAGGTGCCATGCCAGTACCCAGACTGCATTGTTGTTCATTTAACGAGGCAAGCATTCTTGCTGAATGGCAAAGAGCTGGCTTGTGGAGGAGCAAAGCAGTCTCTTCCACACCACAGGGCCCTGTAGCCCTGGGACGTGGCTTCTTCTCTGCTGTGCACCGCCAGCTGCGTGAGGTGCCGTGCAGGAAGTTGGGCTGCTTTCAGGCTTAGAAGTGCTTGCAGTGTGCTGTCCAGTAAGCCACTAAATTTGCTGATCCTTCTGACACAGCAGCTGCAGTTCCTCCACATTCTTCTCAGGAGTCAGTGGCTGTACCTGGCACAGGTGACCAGAGAAAAGCTGGTCTGACAGAGCACTGTCCCCCATCAGCTCCTTGCCTGTATGCTCTGGGTCCAACGTCTCTCCCAGCAGCTCCTCTTCACAGGGCACCAGGATCTCCTTGGACAGATCCAGGCCAGTCATTCCCCTGAGAGACCCCTCACCTGGCTTTGCTGTCTCCCCAGCCAGCCCCAGGTCAAATCCTTCACCACACTTTGGGTTTCCTATGTTACTTGGCTCTAACATTTCCCCAGATGATTTTTCTTCATCCCGCTCTCCCATGCTCTTCTCTTCTGGGTTAGCATCCTCCCCTGCCAGCTCCTTCTTGCACAGCTCCAGAATCCTGCCTGGCTCTGGGCCCTTATTCCAGATCAGGGTCTCTGGGGCACTTGGCTCTGCTGCTGGCAGCCCAGACACACCCTCCCGCACGTCAGGCTCTCTGTGTGGAGCTTGACTCTCCTCCTGCTCAGGGGACTGGCTGGTCAGCTGCTCCTCACTTTTTGGGGGGCTGATGGAAAGTTTCTCAGTGAAGCTGAAACGAGCACAGCTGTCCACAGAAGTTGGGGAGGATGGGCCTGCACTGGAGACGGTGCTGGAGGGGCCACTGCTGTCTGCAAAGAGGAAGAAAAACCTTAAAACATGTAGCTGGTATTTTCCCACCCGAACTGTCACAGTCCCACAGTTCTGCAACCAAGAGGTGAGGGCTGTCTATATGCCGTGTGACCTGTCAGGGGCTTGAAGCTGGTCTTGGACATTTCTGACAGTTCAGCTGATGAAAACCCAATCACACAGAGTACACTGCTACCTTTTAATCCAGTGCTATATGGTGGCATATAGCCAAGAGCAGACTCTGTTGTTACAGCACAAAATGTGAAGTGTGATGTTTCGCTTCAAAATGCAAACCAATTTATTTCATTCCCTTACTATTACAGAACAATCCCAGCTTCAACTTGCTCCTCCTGGTTCCTGATACACACAGTCCCTGAGTATTGAGAGTCAACACTAGAGAAAGAAATATTGATTCTCTACTAATGCTTATTCTTGCCTTATATTGCACAATAAGCAAAATTAGAGCAATACCTAATTGTATCTAATCCAATAAAGGAGGAGAATGAAACCACTGTTTTCAGCCCGACTGGTTTCCTGGCCTTGCTGACTCCACACCCTTCCCTCCCTGCCCGCTGCATCTGCCCTGACCGAGTGCGGAGCACACTCACACCAGGGCGGTTTGTCCGAGCGCGGGCGCAGCGGCAGCGACGACGACGACAGGATTCTCTGGGACATAAAGGGGTCTCCTGGGATCTGGCTCCCAATCATTGAATCAAACAGAGCTTCAGGGAAAAAAAATACACAGATCAGTAATATTCCTACAGACATAAAGGAACGGCTCATAGCCCAGCAGTCACGAGTGGGTGCTCTGGGAAGAGCTAAACACCAGTGCCAATTCAGAGCCATGCCAGCCCATCAGGTCCTGGGAATCTGAGGCTAAGATTTCCAGAGCTGGAGTCGGTGTCCTCATCACCGTACTCATCAGCTAGAGACAGACCTGACTGATTATTTGCCATGTAAGCGGCCTAGGATGGCTCTGAGCTGGGTCCCGTGGCTCATTCCTGGGCTGGAACACTCTGGGACAGGCTCTAGGGGCTGCACTGCTCTGCAGGGCTGTCAGGCTGATCTGTCCCAGGAACGGGAAAGAGCAGGCGTGCTCCTTGCCCTGCCAGAGCCCAGGCAGCGAGCAGTACCTGCGGTGGAGTGGGCGTGCGACTCGCTGCAGCTCCGGCACACGGCCGTCAGGAACTCGTTCACCTGCCGCAGAGACAGCGAGTTGTGCAGAGTCTCCAGGGGATAGATGGTGGGAACCATGGAGCAGCCCTCAAAACCTGCAAAGAGACCACGCAGAGAATGAATAGAGGAAACAGCAGGGAAAATCCATGCAGGAGCAGTCATGGCTGAAGGAGCTGGGCACTCTGGGAATCAAACAACAGGCACACTCAGGCCTCAGGTCATCTCTTCTAACCCAAGAAAATCACCACGAAGCAATTCCATGCAAATACAGATCTGAAAGCAAGCACCTGGGTACACATGGAGGGGAAAAGAGGAAAAGTATCTGGCAGCTGCCATTTTTGCTGAGCCTGGGACACTTAAAATACACAGCCATGATGGAGAACTTGTCACACAGCTTGGCACAGTGCCCCCTCTTACAGAAGCCAAACAGAATCGAAGTGGTGCCAACAGAATTTCCATTAAAGAGGTCCCACCGCTGGTGACCCCTGGCTGGCACAGCCCCCTCTCCCCACAGCAGGGAGCACACACTGCAGCAGCCACAAGGAGCCACAGAAACTCCCTGTCACAGCAGCCCCCCGTGCACCCCGACAGGCTGTGTCCAAAGGAAGGGCTGGGTAATGAATTATTTGTCCCTTTAACTAGAATTCACTGCCAGCAAACCCAGAACGAGCATAAATAGGCATCTCAGCGTGTAATAGACACTTTCTCAAAGCTGAGCTGCATCACAACCATTCAGAATAAATCCTTTGCTGCTCAAGCCAGCAGAGTATCATAGCAAAGTATCTTCCCCTTCATCTCAGCTTCCTGTAAATGCCTTATGGAACCAAGCCAACCTGAACTGTCAGAGGAGCAAGGAAGAAACAGATGAGTCCGTGGGTATATGGAATGAGGCTGCCCCCTGCTCTGTTTAATGCCTCTCTCAAGTTTAATGGCCTCTCAACTCCTTGGGGTTGGGCTTCCCATTCTGTGGCCCCCCAGTCTCCTCCAAGGACCTCAAAAACACTCTGGAAAGAAACTGTGTTTGCTTCTACAGAGAAGGAAAAATACTTTGAAATGCAAAAAGTGAGAGAGTTCTTGATGCAATCTGTAGCAAGATGTCTGCCCACCACACCAACAGGACAAAACTGACCCCTGCAGCTTGGCAGTACCTCAGGAGAAGCCCTGGAGCACCTGTTTGTGTACTGCAGACAGTTGTTCCAGTCACCTCCGGGACAGGCTCTGCTCCAATAACCTCACCTAACCCAGGTCTGCAAGAGGCAAGGAGCATGAGCCATGAAGGTGTTCACTGCAATAAATAACAGTTGGTGGAGATAAAGAATCCTCCAGAGAGTTCACAAGGTTACCTACGCCACAAAGGACCTACAAACATAATTCAAGACAAAAAGGATAACAAATCCTCGGCTAGGATGAAGAAACATAAGACACAGAAAAAAGACCACATTCTTGTGTCTGTTGCTGAGAAGTCCTGAGAGTGGAAGTGCTGAGCAAGGAAGAATGAATGTCCTCTATTTTCTCAGAGGCCTCCTGGGAGACAGAGCTAAACAAAAAAGGTGAGGGCAAATCTTAAAATAGTCACGGGACATAGTTGTGGAGCAGCCCAGTTTGAGGCTAATGTCATTTTACAACAGAATCTGGTTTGAGAGGGGCCAAAGTTGGCTCAGGTACTGGGATCTCCAAAGAAAAAAGGAAGTTTAAATATAAGATAGGGCAAAGCAATGTTACAAGATACACTAGGGGCACCAATGGGGATCTGAGTGCTTGGGCTCCCCTCTAGTAAGATGAGGAAATCAAAGGTCCAGCAATAAAAGAAACATTAGACACTGACACACAGCTGATGTGAAATCACATACCTGTATCCCCAAAGTGTGCCAGGTGCCTGCTCATGCAACTCTGCCCAGCGCTGTGGCGCTGCACCACTCTTGAGCAAGCAGAGTAAAATGGCCAAAGTTTCCTCTTTCAGGGTGGAGGAGTACTGTGTTCAAGGAATCCTTTCCATTTGTGTACAGGACCCCACTCCCTGCACACCTCCCTGGACCTGCTGAGCTGCTGGGGAAGAGGCCAACAGTGGCTCACACCACCACGGCACAGCTAAGGCAGCAGCTGCCACTACGGATCACAGTCCCGATTGTCTCCAGTGAAGGCTCCAACCACTGCTGCACCACACACATTTAGCAAGGATTCTCACCTTTGGGAAAGGGCAAGAAAAACAAAATGTGGCAGCAAGCCACAGGAACCATCCTTGACTGTCAGTTACCCTGTGCTGACTGTGCAGCTACTGCTGATGCTCCCCCAAACTCTTTCCTGGGCCCTGAAGGGCAGGAGTCTGTGATGCAGGCAATGGCACGAGAAACTGGACAGAATTCCACCCATTTTGTACCAACATCCAAGAGCAGCCCACAGAGGAAGTTCTGTGTGCCAGTGTTCTGCTTGCCAGTTCTTCTGGACTAACAAAGCACTTGTCCAGTCTCAGCACAAACAAAAGCACTCTGACATGCATCATCAATCCACCCCTATTCTCCTGGACGAACTCCGACATGCCACATGTATATTGTATATGAAGGATCACAAGTCTAGACAGCACATACGACTGTCTAGTCACAGGCTCCAAACATCAGGGACCCAGAGCTCAGAATTGCTATGGACATCATCTGTCTCTGCTGTATTCTCGTTTCCCCTTGAACTCAGTTAAGCTCCCAACATCACCAGGTACTGTGGTACAGAGCTTGGAAAAAACCCACTTCTGTCCAAAGTACCTCAACTCACTCCATTAGAAACCTTCTTGCTCCTGGATCTACACAAAACTGTGGTCCCCACCCCTTCCCTCAGGCCACTCAGACCACTCAGACCACTATTACAAACAGCCCTCCCAGATTTCTAATTTTGCAAATTTCTACCTCTTCCACTTTGTCTCAAGTGACGATGGTCAGATCAGAGCCCACTATTTCATATATGAGTTTGGGGCTGTTTCCCTTTGTAATTTAAATTCATTTACATTGAACATCACCACTACTTTCCTGCTCATCATCACAGGACTGCTGTCTGTCCACAGCTGACCTTTGGCTTCAGTACCAGTGGGATTCATTACCAATATGAACTTACTTCACACATTCTTTATCCCAGCTATAACCACACAGGTTCCCAGACATTCCTTCAGGGCTCCACTGTTGATTTTTCCAACTATGGATGCCAACTGCATACTTTTGACTCACTGATTCTATCTCCTAATTCATGTTTCCTTTGTGTGGATAGAAGTACAGTGGAAAGCCAAGAGAGGACAGAAGAATGCAGTTTTCACAAGGAAGAAACCTGGGCTGTCAACCATGTCTGCTCTGAGAAGAGCCTCAGCAGGAATCCCAAACATATCAATGAACTGTGGGCTTGCTGATGGATGGCAAAACAGCGTGAACTCGATGCTGGATATTTGATTTCCAGCTGGGAGGGCTGCTGCACTGTAAGGAGTTGGGAGCACCTAACGCCTGTGTTGGGGCAGGACGCAGCCCCCACCAGGTGCTGCGTCCAAAGCACTGAGCTCATTTTCTCTCCCCACCCAAGCTCACAAACAGGGCCAAGACTTACAGCAGGGAAAGCTCAGCCCTTGCTCTGGAGCAGTCTGCTGTGATCCAGCATCTCTTCCCTTGAAGCAGCTCTTGCTCCTCTTTAGCATTTGTTGCCAGGAGACCAAGGAATTGTCCTAGTTACATGTGAAAAGCAACTAACTGTCTCCAAATCTGTCTGCTTGACAGAAAGGGCCATATCAAGGGAAAAACAGACGTAAGAAAAATTCTCATCTTCCAGGCTCTGAAAATGCTTGGTCTTGCTGCTTCACTACATGGAAGGCTGCACTGTCTGTGCCCTTTCCACCTGTGGGTCTGAATGGAAAGAGGGGTCCATGCATCACACCACACAGCTCAGCAAGCCACATGCTCCGAGCAGCTCCTATGGTGCAAGTAAACCTCAGCAGCCAGCCCCAGCTCGCTGCCTCCTTCAGGGAGCAGCAATCTTTCTGCCTGTGTGAGAAGCACCAAGGCCTCCATGCATCAGACTCCTCGTCTGTGACAGAGGCTGAAAAACACCAGAGAAACAGCAGCAAGCTTTGATTGATAACATCTGGGTTCAGTGCTGAAGTTGCCTACCTCTTCCCACCAGAGACAGGACACACTGAGAGGCCCTATCAGGCAGGAAAGATGCCATGCAGTGCAGCCACACAGAAGCTCAGCTCTACCCTGTCTTAACTCAGTCTCTCTAGATACAACACACCCAAAAGCACTCACTTCCCCAAAATTTCCACAGCAAGTTCACTCAGCTTGTGACCAGCTGCAGCACCTTCTTAATCTCTTCCTCTACTCTCACTACCCACTTTGGTTCCTCCATTACTAAGGGGGCACTCTGTGGCAGCTCACCAAGAGCTGCACAGAGCATCCTGCCAGCGGGGCATCCCATCGATAGCAGATCATCAGCTCCCTGAAGGGAGCTTAAGGCTTACCCTGGCTAAAGGAAGGAGGCAACAAACAATTGCCAAAGATGGAAAGAGCAGTTACAGCCACATGGGGAGTGGAGGCTCTGTGTGGAAAGGCTCCTGCCTAAGGCTCCAAAACTGCTGGTACAAAAGCCCACACAGCTTGCTGGAGCAGCAGCCTAGAGACCTTTGGGATTTGGTGAGGGAAACACTTTCCTTTTTCAGAAGCAAAGCATACTTTGCACTCTCAAGCAGACAGTGGTCCCTGCTCAGCTACAAGAGCATGGGACAGAGGCAGCTGCAGCGTGCAGTACCGTAAAGACACTCCAAGTCATCCTGCCCTGAGATCAGCCAGCTCCTGAAGAGGCGCAGGTGGTAGGAGCACTGCTGCAGGTGATGGGCTAGGGTGGCATCCAAGGAGATGGTCCGGCTCGCAGCACAGTCAGAGGAAAAACGGCGTAGCAACTGGGCAACGTGCTGGTGCTCCAACACATCTGGAGGAAAGGGGCCATAGAGAGTGAGAGGAGAGGGGCAGGTACAGCTGGGGGACAGAGAAACTGCGGAGATGTGGGCATGGAGCTGCCAGCACCAGGGCCGCTGGGTGAGAAGGACACACGCCACACATTAAGCCAAATCCCTCCCACAGCGAGCAGGTCAGGAATGCCCTTGAGAGTTCTGTTTCCCCAGTGACACCAGGGCAGACCAGACTCCCACCCAGCCCAGGCTTCGCCCAGCTGCAGCACAGGGCACTGCCTGAGAGCGAGGGCTCATCTTTGTAAAGGAAAGGCTGACAAGGGAATAAATTTCAGGACACATTCCAAGTCCAATGCAGTTCAGGTCTGGCTAGATAAAAGGATCAGGCTCAGGGCCAGACTCGCCCTTCCGCAGCTCAGATGAGAAATCCAGAGGTGCCAAGACTGCCAACAGTGTTTGAGTCCTGCATCCAAGCACAGCCAGGCACATCAGCATGGGGACAGAGCAAATGGCCCAGCATCAAATCAGCAGAGGCTGTGCAAGGCACTTCGGGAACAGCAGGGTCTGACTGAGAGCAAAGTGCTGAGAGTGCAGCAGAACAGAGGGAGCACAGAAGCACTGACTTTCCTTGTCTTTGAGAACAGCCCTGTGCAATCTTCTGTGATAGCCTCGCATAGCAGACAAGATACCAGCATGCAGGCATGCCTTCTCTCTATACACAGCCTCAGGACTCACGTCACCCACCCAAGACTTGTGCGACCAGGGTATAAACTATCTGGCCTGATGCTATGCTTGACCACTACCGTGGTTCACCCATTCCATTTCACCACACAGAGGCAGCTCTCCAGAAACAAAATCCAGACTCAGAGCTAGGAACACTTTTTGCATTCAGTTTTTTAAGTGCTTCATGGGGTAAACATCCCTTCTGCTCAAAGTAGTGCAAATCCTAGACCAAATATCCCTGATTTTGAGCTCTCACCTGCTGGACCCCTGTCTTTTTTTCTTGATTAAGAAGCTCTTTGCCATCAAAAATACTAATTGGGCTTTTGGGAGAAACATGATGCCCAGTTTAACCAGATTGTATTTGGAGCAGGGGCAACTGCTTTACAGCGTGTCTTACACAAGGCTGGAACTTAGTACAACCTTTGCAGGAAAGATAGAACAACACACCCTGCTGACATAGACCATATGAGCTCCAATGCTGTCCAGACATACAGACAAACCAAGCAATTGGCCACTCTGGGAAAACCAAAGCCAAGCAAACACAGAGAATAGGCTCCCTCTAGTTATTTGAAACAGTAAAGCCACAGTGACTTGTCCTTTCCCATTTCATCCTTCCCAAAACTTTCATTTTCAGAACAGTCTTCTGAATTTCATTCATCTTCCAGATTACACCAAGCAGGATGTCTTCATACTCGCAAGCTGCCTTAATCACATCAGGCAGAAATACTTGGTAGTGTTCAGTGATCTCCTTTGGTTCTAGCTTGTCTCAGCAGCAGGAGCCATGCAAGAGGAGGGGTGCTGCGAAACCTCTTTAAAAGTATCTGTGCAAGAGCTGGAGAGTAAACACTGGTTCAAGGCACCTGCTACAGCAGGGCTAGAGGCCTGTAACCTCACAGACTCACACTCTGGTTGTCAGGCAAGTAGCAACACGGAGGAGAGACAGTGAATTAGCAGAAGCTCTGTCCGACACCTGTCCGACACCTGTCACCAAACCTTTCCAGAGGGACAGGCAGGGTGGGATGGAGCAGGTGATGCCACCCCAGGTAGCATGATGCCCATCCCCTCCCCCAAGCCAGCACCTCCACCAACAGCAGACGAGTCAGAGCTGTGGAGAGACATATTGCACAGGGTAACGTCTGCAGGAAAGGTGAGCATACCTGCGCCAACATCACATGCTTGGAGGAACCACAAGACCAGCCTAACAGAGATGTTTCACAACAGGAGGCTACCAGCACTCCTGACATGACGCACCAGGTGCACTTCCTTCTTTCCCACCGTACACGAGGCACTTCCAGGTGACACACAGCTGTCCTAGTGTTATTCTTGTTTTCATTCTGCAAATCTGCAGTGTAGGAACTGAGGACCTAAGCTGCTGATGCTTCATGATATGGAATGAGCATCAGCCCCCAGTCCAGTGGTATTTTCCCCCTGATCCCCACCCTCCCAACAAGGAGCACAACAAAAGGCCTCAATGTCACCGCAGAGTTAAAGGCTACTTTAGCAGCACACTCACAGAGCCATGGCTTCTGCCTCTTCCCCTGGGACAAGAACACCTCAGGGAAAACAGAGGCACCACTGAGCAGCAGCAGGGTATGAGTGAGCACATTAGTCACAAGGAGACAATGGAGGAAGGTGGAGCATGTTTGGACACCAGATACACAAACACAAAAAAACCACAAGAAGGCTGAGAGGAAAACGTGTGCAGAGAAAAGTGAACGTGAGCATGGGGTTAGAAGTGTGAGGGAACATCAAATCCAGAAAGCAAACATACCATTAGTCGGATGCTTTGCAAACGACACAGAAAATCGTTTTACGGCTGGCATAGACAAGAGCTCTGAGGAAATAAAAACAGATCATCTCAGTTAACAGCCTGCTTCAAAGGATCTCCCGACCTTCATACACCTGATTACGCTTTCAGGTTCGCCTTCCTGACCCCCACAACAGCTGCCCCCACTGGCACTGCTGTGGCATTCAACACTCTGCCTGTGGGTCCACCTGAAGCATTCTGCATCTGCCCAGCCCTCGCACCACCCTGCCAGGGTCTCCCCAGCACGCACACTCAGCCACACTCAGCCACCCTCAGTCAGCAGCTCACAGCTTCCCACCACAGCAGGCTCAGCCGGTGCAGAATGCAGCCAGGCCATGCTCACAGCCACCAGAGCACACGTCCCAGCCAGCAGCAGCACCACAGCAGGACTGTTCTCAGCATTCACCTCTGCCCAAGGAAAACAAACACTGTTCTGCACAGGGACTAAGCAGTCCAGCAAAGGTACAGCTCAAAACAACCTCTTAATGCAAGCTATATAGAGCTATTTATGAATTTAAAGGCAAATCACCTGAGTAGGGAAGAAGGAAAAGACCCATGAAGACAAGCCTCTACAGTTCTCTAAAACATTTCAGTACGGGGGAAGCTTTGGGATACACCTGGCAGAGTGGTCCTCAGGCTTCTCCTGGCCATGCCCAGGCCAGGCCGAGCTCTCCCATACAAATCACCCATCAGAACGACTGTGCAAGGACAGACATTGTGCATCCAATGGGTGCAAAAAGATAGGCTTTAAAGGACATGGATTGGGCTCCACATGCACACACACACAAAAAAAAAAAGGCTGGAAGCTTTACTTTTTTCCCCACACTGGAAATTCCTCAGCTATAATGAAAAAGAATGGCCTGGATCAGACCATCTATATGTGGGATTTGATGTGAGAGCCCAGGCAATCATACCTTTTACTGCTATTGGGGATCTTTCAGGAAATAGTAGAAAACCCTTTTATTTCTCTTTCATGTTTCATGCATCCATACTCCCTAGTGCACAGGATGTGTATGCCTACACCCTTCATCAGTGCATCAAAGCATGCTCCATACTCCCAATGTGCTCCTACATGCAGTGGCTTGGCCAAATAATGTATCTAAAATCAACTCTCACTGGAACTTCCTCCTCTAGTGTACCAGCCCTAAAAATTGTTTTTCTTTCTTTAAACTCAACAAACAGCATGACAATCTTCCCTACACGTGCAAGCCCTGGAAAGTGTCTGTCCTGCAGCTGCAGTCAGCTGGTGACCATCTCCAGCTGACCCACACCTCCCCTTGCCCTGAGGGCACAGCAACTGAAATGGCACTGACCCAGTTTGCTGGATCCCTGGCTTCAGGCAAGCCAGCCTGTAACCACAACCATCCACACACCTTCCCTCAGCTTGAGGTTCAGAAAACTTCCTGCTGAAGTATTCCTTAGCCCTCCTCCAGGCTCCAAGCATAAAAGACTTCAGAAATAAGGGCCCTTGAAACTTCCCTGGAAAAAGGCAAGTTTACACTGGTGAAGTACTGTATGCCACACACTGCACCTTGAAGTGTCACAGCCATGAAAAACTACCAAAGAGTTCACGCAAAAATGTGCTGCTTTTCAATGCCATTAGTCTAAAGAGTGTGGAACAGGTCTTAAAACAAATGTTCTCCAAGAGTCTGCTGTAGCTGCAGTGCCACTGACTGCAACCATGTGTAGTGATGTTTGGATTCAATTCCATTGTTCAGCACTGCAGTAGTGCCCACTTAAGCGAAAACATGCAGATCAAGGGCTCATTTCACATTCCAAACTACTTTCCCCAGAAGCTAAATGTCCTTCTGCCTTCTCCTTGTTTTCCTAACACCTTCCCTCCAAATGCCCTTACTGCAGCAAGGCACTGACAGCACAGGGTCTCAGGGCATGCCAAGGAACATGAAAACAGAAGCATAACATCAAGATTTATAATTCTGAGCTGTGTCAGACACATGCTAGGCAACTAAGTCTGCATTTTAGGTACTTGAGGGTACAAGTGCATCTCAGCACACAGAGATGCAGTTGGGATTTGGTGAGGGAAATCACTTGTCACTGAATTTAAGCTTAGCAGGAGTCCATGGCCTCAAATGCCTGTAGCCTGCTCCAGGCATGTCCTGCTACACAGCCCACAGAGGCACAGAGCCCAGCACCAGGACTGAGCAGGGTTCTGTGCCCAGCTGGACACACAGCAGGCTCTGATGCTTTACCCTGAGAATCAGAGCTGCCTTGGGCTCCCACTCCTTGCAGAGTCAGGAAAGAACAGCTGCCAGGGCCTTTGCTGGCCTTTTCAGAGGCTCCACTGTGACTCATATCCTGGTTTTGTGCCAAACACCATCAGCTTATTCTGCAACCAGAGTAGCCAGTACTTGCTGCCTGGGGCAGCTCAGACTGGTACACTGGCGCTGAGAACACTCCCATGTCACCCTCCCTGCCACCATCATTCACAGCCCAATGTGTGGCTGGGAGTGCCCTGAGGAGGGGAGAACCAGCTCAGCTTTCTCTTCTACAAGAAAAGCAGCACACGCAGCTAGGGTACATAGTGGCACCTACAGAGTTCCAACAGGGATGAGAATTGGACAACATCTTTCCATCCTGATTTGCTAGGCCATTTTCCTTGCCTCAAAACTGGACAAAAATCCAGATGAACCAACCTCATGTCTTTCCCAAACTACTCCCTTAATCCTCTTCCCCCTTTGAAAACCAGCAATGTTAATGTTCCTTACAATCCCAATAAGAAAGGCACTCAGAATCTGCATTGAGTAAAATATCAAAAAGATAAGACATCCAATAGAGACAACCTTACATCCATCCATTCAAATGCTGGGAAACCTTAGGTGGATTTCCAACCTTGTCAGAGTATGCTGTGCAAACCTTGCCCACAGAGCTCCCCAAATCAGTGCCCCAACAAATGGTATGTGAATCGGTACTGAAGAGTTTGAGCGAGTGTCTTTCCTAGCAGGACCACAGTGGACACTTGCACTTGTGCATGACACCCTCCAGCTGCCCCAGGGCAGCCCAGCCTGTCCCCTGTGCCCCAACTTCCCTGCAAATAACAACGCTCTGCTGCTCCCTGCGCATTGCACCGAGTGCTGCGGGCAGGCCAGGTGCAGCTGCAGCACCTGCAGCCATGGCATGGAGTGTCTGTAACCCTGGTCCCAATGCCTTCACCAGACTGGCTTGCTGACCTTCCTGGCAGTTTTTGCACAGCTGCACAGAAACCAGACTTTCCAGTACTTCATCTGCAATACTTCATCCACGGCAGCTCACTCATCTCAGGCGTATTGCCCTTGGCTCCAGAGAGCTCCCTCAGACTGCCACGTGCTCAGCCTCTCTCTAGTGCCCACCTTAACCATGCCCAAGCACATCATTCTGTCTTTGGGATGGCTCCACCTTCCATGGGGCAAGGATTACTGCCCCAAAAGAGCTGCATTTTAGCATCAGCAAGATGATCAAGGTAAGCAAGATGATGTGATCTGCTGGATTGCCCTTCCAGGACAAACTGATTTAATATCTGGACCAATAAATTCCCCTTCACAACAGCCAACTACTATTAAAACATCAGACCAAAATCACGCCCCAGCAATACCACACATGAGCCTAAAACTCCTCTCACAATGTTAGGTCCCTTCTGTCCTAGCAAGAATCGTGATTTCTTGCGGCATGGTAAAATTTACCACTGTAGATGTGATGAACGCATACATTGAACTGTCACTGTTTTCAGCAGTCCAAGCCTGTGCCACAGGCACATCTTGAGACACCAGTGTCCACAAAGTACCGCCCTGCTGCCAGGGAACACACATACCGTCTTTGTATGTCAGGCTGCTGGCAAACTTTTTGCCATGGCTGCGTGCGTAGTCCTGGAGGTTGGGGGCACTGGAGGAGCCTCCCAGCACAGTGGTGCTAAACAGCCCGGTGCACTGTGACCCTGGAAAGGCAGGGAAGGTGTTAGTAACACATACCCACTGCATGCAGCGACAGAAAAGCAGGGTTAGTCAAAGGATGAAGGATGAACTGGCCACTTCACAAGCAATTTCAGGAAAAAACATGACGCCTGGAAGCACAGGGAGGCCATGTTCTCCATTCTAAATTCCACAGTGCCAAATGCAGAGCAGGTAGCCCAAACCTCAGCACCAGGGAAGTTCCTAACTTCATCCAGAGGTTTACTTCCATTTGGCTTTCTTGCCCTCACCTAGGGGGAACACCTTCACCCCTTTTAGTCAGCAAAGCCAAAGCTACACACTGATGCCAGAACACTCAGGATGCCAAACCACTGATGTTCATGTCACAGAGGTTCATTGCTCTTTGCCCTTTCTCTCTGGAAAACTCCTTTTTGTGCAGAACACTGAGGAGAGGAAAGAACTGTCTGATCTGTGGATCAGCCAGCATGGATTCATCTCCAGTCAAACAAGCAGAGAAAGTACTGTGACCAGAGGGCTTGTTCTCACAAGCTTTCCTTCACAGACAGACTTTACTCCTCATGGCTCACTGCTCCAGCACAGGAGCAACGGGCCCACCAAGAGCCTTGCAAGCACCAGATGTGCACACAGCATGGAACTTGACCTACCCAGAGTCAGGGAACACGGCATGCAAGGTGGAGGGCAACCTCCTTCCTGGGGCTTTGCCTTTGCTTCTCCAAGGCACAGTGCTCTGAACACTGACTTGGCTTCCCGTGATATTTAGTGAACGCCAGGCATTTGAAAGAGGATTCTTTCAACTGACTGAGGAAAGCAACTGTGAGTCGAGACAAAACCTCATTATGGGCCAGACACAGCCACTGATTGGCTGTAGATTCCCTGTAAACAGTCCTGCTGCTGCATTCTGTACTGACTGCTCAAACCAACATTACTCCTGCATACAAAGGGCTTCCAGAAACAAGCAGATTGATCTGGTCTGCCACAGCAAAAACCTGCAACACAGAACAGTGCAACTGTTACTGCTCTGAAAGAGAACCTGCCTATACTGGAAACTGCTCTTGATTCTAAAATATGGCAGCATAGCATGATTTAGGTTGGAAGGAGACTGAAGCTTCTTTCCCAACACCCCAGGAGGACCAGCTCAGATCAGCTTGCTAGGGTTTGTCCAATCAAGTTGTCCTCCAAGAAAGTAAATTTCACAATCTCTCTGGACCCCTGCTCTAACATCTGGCACATTCACGGTGGGTGAAAAATCTGTTCCTCCTAGCTAATTGGAACTTCTTGTGCTGCAGCTTGTGTTCATTGGTTCTCCATCAACAACCACAGGGCTTTGGGGATAGTCTGTGTCTGTTCTCTCTGCAATCTCCCATTTAGGTGCTGAAAGAGCATCAAGGTCTCCAGTCCCCACAAGCTCCAATCTGAACAAGCACAGCTCTCAGTTTTTCCTCCAATGCCATGTGCTCCAGGCTTCTCACCCATTTCCACTGCCTCCCAGTGAGCTCACAGCCCTGCCATAGCCCAGGGAGCCCAGGGCAGGACAGCAGAGCTTCAGGCACGCATGAGAGGTGAACAGAAAGAGCCAAAGCCCTCAGCTGCACAGCTGTGCTCCAGCTGATGCAGCCAGGCATGCCTTCAGCCTTCCCTGGTGTGAGGACACACTGCTGCTTCACATCCACTCATTGCTCTTGGGGACCCCAGCTCTGTTTCTGCAAAGATCCTTAAGCCAGAGCTTCTTTGGAGAAAACACAGAGATCCTGAGCATTAAAATGTTCTTGTATAAACTCAGGCTGAGCTGAGGACATCTGTTCCTGGGCGACCAAAAGGGTCCTTGTGGCAGTGAACTGCAGCTGGTGCCCCACTGTGACCCTGCTGGTGGCTTTCCACAGCACAGACCAGCACATACGTGCCCTTGGACTTAAAGGAACTCTTGCCTGCAGAGTCACTGATACACAAACCTCAGAAAATTTTCTCCTAAATGCTTTAAATTGATGCAAAGTGCTCACTCAGCATGAACTGGAATCTGTTGGAATGAAAATGAAATTTTTTCACACATCAGACAGGACGATGCTCCCAATAGCTCTTCCATGGTTTTAAAAACAAACAACAACGAAAACCACCCAACAGATGCATTTACTGGCAGATAAAAATTGAACTTTTTAGGACTGTATGTCTTGAGCAACCTTGTGCTGTTAATCATTAAGCTAGGGATACCCCAGTGTTTCTGCTCTCCTGCTGCAGACAGAGGCATTAAGTCAGAAGAGAATTTACAAAGATGACTTTATGGACAACAGCAATTGTCTACAGGGAACTCCACAAGACCACTGCACCCAAGTAACCACACACACACACACACACATCCTAAAAACACAATGGCCATTTGGATTTAAATGTAGCAACACTTGCTAGGAATTACTGTACGTGCTGGATATTTACGGTGCATGTAATTGTCACGTGTTCATTCAGTATGTCAGATGTTTATTAGTCATTCTTGGTTCCCCTCTGGGAATCTCAGCACAAGGCTTTGTGCCACTGGCAGTGTACCATCTCTACTGCTCAAATAGCCAGCAGTGATTTTACTCCATTTTGAAGGGTTCTTGTAAGCAAAGAAAGGTTCTGAAACATCCCTAGGCTTTTCAAGCTAGAAGCACATTCACTATGGCAAACAATCCACAGCACTGCACTTGATGCTGCCCAGAAAAACCTGTCACACTCCAAAGCACAGACAAAGCAAGGTGCAGCCACCTATTTTCAAAGAAGGAATTACATTTTTTTAAATTACAGTAGATGCACCATTCTGGAAGGTATAGCAGCAGGGCAGAGCTATTGCAAGAGCTCCCTCGTGCTCCCTCTGCTCCTGCATGCCTACACATGGGAGCTTACACCAGGACAGATATTCCATTTTCCAGAGAGAATGACAGCCAGGCACTGACTGACAAGGTCAGGCAACAGGAGGTGTGCTCAGCTTCAGAAAACTCAGAAACAGCAGGTAGTGCCTGAATGAACTCCCCTCCATAACCCCCCAAAGCTGCTGAGACAAGTATTAAAGCTCCCACAGTTCTGTATTATCTCTTAGAGAGAGAACACATTTCAAATCATAAAGGGGCAAGAAATTAGATTTCTAAAAAACAGGCAGGAAAAGAATCAGGAAGATTCCTTGAAGATCTTGACTTGTACAGGTAAAGGGGCACGGCTCTTCCTAGCAGGCCTCAGGTGAACAAAAACTCACAGAAACACAGATATCCTAATCACCAAGTGTTGTGCAAGCTGGTGGGGTACAACAGGTCTTTCCTGCTCAATCCTTCTGTGCCTGCAGGACACTACAGAGGAGAACCATGGCTGGGCTGGAGGTCTATGGCACAGATCAGATCTATCAGCTCCTGCTCAAGGTTTTGTCCCTGCAGAGCTTCACAGGTAGAAGAGCAACCAGCACAAGCTTCCCAGCAAGGCACATGAAGCAAGATTCTGAAATCAAACCTGCCAGGATCATATCTCAGATTTTGTTGTGAAGGAAAAGTAGTACTGTACAAAGGTGTAGAAAAGCAGTGGTCTTCTTCTCTATTGCCAAAACAGACATTCCTCAAAAACCTGGAAAAGGCCCTAGTCCAAGGGCTGTAATAACTGCTTTCCAGAGCCCAGGCCTTCTGGTAGTCACACATTCAAACAGTAAAACCAGTTTGCAGTACCATTTGATATACCCAGTAATTCTCCAGCAGATGCACTCCTTGACTATGTGCCATTTCAGAAATTCCCATATTCATCCATATGGACTCACAAAACAGCTACAGGTTTCTTCAAGCCTAATCATGGCAGTTTGTCACAGCTCACTGAATCTCACAGTGGCACCGGGAAAAGCAGAGATAAGTGAAATAACACATTCAAAAATTACCCTGGCCAAGGATACTGTCCCTTTATGAAAATAACGTACATCAGTCATTCCTATTTAGATTTTTCCAGCTGGTTGGACGCATTAGCTGGCAGGCTCCAGGGATACCTTCTAACCACTCAGAAGAAAATACTCTTTCCTTCGTAAGAATTAGATTCCAAAGAAGCTGCCCATTCAAAAGTGGCAAAGAAGTGAGCAGGCCTTTCAGTAGTCTCTTAGCTGCAGGTTTTCCATATAATAGATTGATGAGTCAGAACTGCTGCAAGTCTGCAGCCATGCTACAATGCTAAGATGGTTTAAAGAAAAAGAAAGTGGGCGTGATTTGGGCATTATCACCTCCTCTCCTCAAGACACAGGTTGCACAGCCATCTCTGAAGCTCGTGACAGCAAAGACAGCTTTTCCAGTTTCAAAACGGCTCTTGCTTTAGCAGAAATATTTCAGGAATAATTTCAACTGTTCAGACATAGTTTAGGTTAAGATGACATGGAATAAAACAATCAAGGACAGAGATTGTCAAATGCCCTGAAATATTCTCTTCCACTGGCTGCCACAAGACGACGGCTGACCAAGGACTTCGGCTTAATTAGAGAGCTATCAAACATTCTGTATGTGACACATCTGTTCCATACAACAGATCTTTATGAAGCAAAGGTAGAAACGGAACAGTCTCACATGAAGAATAGCTTCGCAGATAAACTGATGTTTTGTAGAACAGAAAGCTCACAAGTTCTCACCTAAAATCATCTCTTCCTTTGAGAAACGTAACAAATGAGAGCAACAGAGAAGCAGAGGCAAGCCTGCAGGTTTGCAGGCAGTTTGCCCTGTTGTTCCTGTACTGGAAAGGATGAAAAGTCCATCTTGTGCTGCTAGCAGCTGAAGAAGTTTGTACAAAAGGTACCGACTGAGACAGTCTCTACAGTGGTCTCAACAGCAACACTGAGAGAAGACACGAAACACACAGAGGCATACAAGGAACTCAAGCCAGATGTGTATGTGGAGACACAGACTAATGCCCATGGAAATAGAGTCACAAGCAAGTAGGCTGGTTACAGGTCAGGTACAGTACCTAATCCACTTTGCTTCATCTCAGAAGACTGCCTGGAATAAGTGCTGAAGAGGCGATAACCTCCTGATTTAGAAGAAGATTCAGACAGCACCTGCAAAGACACAGTGTAAATAATCAGCACCATGCTCCAAGTTACCCACTGCTATCAAAGCCTTTAAACATCAGTTGAAGGTAAAGAAATGGATACTTCTTCCTTAAATCACCATTTTCAAGAAGCACAAAGGTAGTCATATGCTAGGATTGTGATAATGAATGCTCAATTGTAATTTCAAGATTTTGTTGGATTGTGGAACAATGGAAATCTCTAAAGTAGGACAGGACTCACGTAGTAAGCATCTTTTCTCCCAAGACTCTTTCTGAGATCCTTGGGACTCAGACTTCCTTCTTTAGCAGCAGGAAATCATATCCCTTTTAACTCAGTATGTGCCTATCACAAAGAGCCTCTGAGTGCTGCACATTGTGAGAAACATACAGTGATGGAAGACAGCTAACAAATACGTCAAACATTAACTCTGCTGTTTTCTGGTTCAGAAAACTGATGGCAAAAATGCCTGTGAAATCCCTCTTAAAGGAGGGACAATTCCAGAGCACTCTGAAGGTAACAGTCACCTGCTGACTGTGACACTGGCCTTGTGAGACAGAACAGCCTGGAAGGAGAGATGTTAGAACAGTAAAATTAATTTTGTTACTTCACCAAATCAGTGAATGGGACAGTTCTAAGCCCTGATAGCTTAAACACCCTGGATGAATCCACCAGTGAGCAGGGACCCTCATCAGCATGAGATCTTAGATGGGATGGAGGAATGTGAAACATGGAGCTGCCTTTGTGAAAGGCAAAGACTGGAGCTTAACAGAAGGCAAGATGTCATCACAGCTTGGTGGTGAGGTTGCATGTAATCTTATACTGGCTACACCAGTGCCTCTGTAGAGCATGTAATCCAAATAATGCTAGTGTTTCTCAAGCATTTCCTTACTTGCTCTTCAGTTTCTCTGGCCTGTGTTCCTGTCCTTCCTCAATGAGGAAGAGTTTCAGAGGTCTGCCCTCCACAACATCCCTCTTTGCCTTCTGCAGATCCTTTCCCAGAATCAACTCAGACTCTGGCATGTTAAAAGAAATGCCAGGAAACCAAAGCCAAGCAAAAGGCCTTTGCAAGAAGCAGGGCAGGCACCAGGAGCACGGTTACCTCCATGGATCCTGTCTTGCGGCTCCTGACCAGCGGCGACCGGCGCTGGATGCTGACGGGCTCCGAGGGCTGCGGGGACTTCTGCCGAGCGCAGTCTGCCTCATCGCTGCCCTTCTCACGCGAGAGGTCCTCCAGGCTGCCTTGGTCTGCCTTCTTTTCCTCGTTCTGCCGTAAGGAAACACTGCCCTTGTGTCCACAGGCACGGGGCCTCTGCCCACGCTGCCCCACACCAGCTGCAGGCTTGGAGCTCCTGCTGTGCCAAGCTCAGGAGGCACTCACAGTCCCACAGCCACCCTGACAGACCCAAACGGGACAGACACAGCGTGCCAGCTCCCCGTGCACACCACCAGCAGGGCCAGACAGAGCAGAACAGCGCCCAGGTGTCCCCTGGGGCTGGCAGCTCCTGCCCAGGTGTCTGCTTACCTCTGCTGAGGCCGGTCGAAAGCCAAACCCCGTGGGTATGTTCCTGTCCTCCTCACAGCCTTTGACACCAGGGCTGAAGTGCAGCTCCACATGGAAACGCTCCTCTGAAGAGGGGTCCTGTGAACACATGTCACAGGGAATAGGTAAAGAACAAAACCCAGTTAATCCTACCATCAGCCCAGGCCAAGGTCCCACCCTGCTGTGCTGGCCAGCACGCATCCCAGGCCCATCCCTTGGAGGGAAAGCAGAGGCAACAAGCATGAACAGAATGGCTCCAGGTCTGTCCCATCCAAAAGGACAGCCCTCATCAGCACCCAGCTGAGCCATTCTGACTGTTGCTATTTTGAGACAACAGCCACAGAGGAATATAACAGAATCAGGCTCTATTTATATATGTACACACACATATCTCCCTAAACCCCAGCTCCTTCTGACCCACTCCTGCTGCAAACCCAGCATATGCCCGCACAGGGGGAGACTGGGTCCCCCCTGGACCTTCAGTCAGGCTGATCCAAGACTTAAGCAACTGTCTCCAATAATAATTTTTCATTAACCTTTTTTAAAGGAAGACAGTTTTTACAGTATCTGGCACTAATGATATAAACCCATCTTGGCTGACTGACACATCCACACCACTCATGAGAGCTCTAGTCACATATTTTTTGAGAAGCATCACTTCTAACATTAGAAGCTCACACCAGCTCTGTGAATACAAAGCTCTGACTCTGTAAGGTGTGGGCTAAGGGGCTGCTCCCCTCACCACTACAACCTCCTGCAGCACAGACCCAAGTCACAAGGTCTGATGATCAAGACATGCAGTTTGGTGGCAAACCTACTTACAGCCAGCACCCTCAGCTCCCACATTCTAGCTGTTTATTAAATGATTCTCTTTACTTCCTGAAGATACCAGTTTACATTTCCCTAACTATACCAGCACACTTTCAGAATAAAAAATAGTTAACAGATGTGGAATTTCTGGATATTTTCTAGATATATTTCAAAAATACAAATCAAATGTCACTCAAATATATTTATTTTTTCCTACTGCTTACTTGCAATTAATACTTAAAAACAGCAAATAATTTTGACTAGAAAATGCTTTAAAATAGTCAGTATTAATTACATAAGTTGGGTATTATGCTCAGAGTATTACTGCTCTTTCTGCTTACATGCAACAAGCATTAACTAGGTCACTGCCTCCCACACAAACTAAAAACTAGCAGTTGTGTTAATGATCCATCCATCTTTGTCCACAAGCAGCAAGAGCTCAAGTTACAGACTTCCAACTGAACTCATCTCTGAGGACTGCCTTGCAACGGGGCAGGAAGCATTGTATCCTACTGCTCTATCCCTCACCTTGTTGTTGTCCTCGTAGAGCATGATAACAATCTGGGTCATGTAGTTCAGCTCTGAGATAGCACTCAAATAGTCCATGGCTCTCTTCCACTGCTGGTCTTTGTTTTCCTGATGTATACACACAAACAGTCGCATGGGATAAGCAACAGCAGACACCTTGCAGCATTCAGTGAAATGGGACTGAGAGAGCTCCTCTCTCCACAAGGTAACATTGTCAGGACAAAAGCACCTTGCTTAACTTGCATGAAGAAATGAGCTTGCCATGTGGTGGGATGCCTGCAGTCAGGAGCAGCTGCACAGAGGGATGCCACAGCTGCCCAAGCCGCCCATGGCAGATGGGAGCTGCAAGGCGCTGACTGGAGACAGGCAGAGCCCACAGCAGGCTCCCAACACAGCCATTCTCAAACTACAGAAACGAGCACGAGGGATGAGCTTGTGCTAAATAAGGGACCAAGTGAAACGCTGTCACCTGATGCTGAATGAAAAATGTGGAGACAGGCTGAAGCCCTGGGCTCCACAGAGCAGGGCAGCCCACCCTTCACTGCCCCCCAGCACTGCCACGAAATGGGCACACCTGAAGTGCCACCCATGATGCTGTGGAGTGAATCACCACGTTGATGGACATGAACTGAACCCTCCATTACAAAGAACTCAGACGCAGCCCAATATCCCTGTGTTGGCAACACAGCATCCTTGGGCACCCGAGTCAGGAAAAAGGGAGCATCTTGTTCAGTGAGTGATTTAGAGGCACTTTTCTGATCACTGTCTACAGATATGCTAAGCTGCCACAGACACCAGAAATCATGTCTGTAAAGCAAGCCCAAACTCTCAAGGCATTTTAGACCACGCTTAAAAATGGGAAGGTAAATCAGACAGCCTCTTTAAAGCAGAGCTTTTCTCAGGGTCTGCATACCAAATCATTCAGGAAGCAGGTGAAGAGAGAGCAAGTGAAGGGTAAGCTGGATGAATTAATCTCTAAAAACTGTCATCTGCCTCTCTGGTAGAGAGCACATCGTGTGAATTTGCAACCTTGAGTTGCTTCCCCTGTAAGAAAACTGATTTTATTGACTTAGAATTGATATAAAGACTACAAATACAGGACTAAGCTCTTAAAATAAAGGGTTGAAGGAAGCAGGAAGGAAGAAATTCAGTCATCCCCATTGCCTCATACTGCTCTTCTCCTAGGCAAGTAAGCGGTCTGCCCACCTGAAACTAGCAGGACAGATCTTGGAGAAAACATGTCTCTGTGCAAGCAAGGAAGGCACTGAGGAAGAACAATCCCCCTACAAGCCAGAAATGCAGGAAGCTGCAGCATGCAAACACAGCAGAGATGGAGCTGGCCCAATGCCACTGATGCACAGCATTCGTGGCAGAGCTGGCTAAAGGGGCAACCTACAAACGTACACTGTCTGCCGTGGAAAAGGCTACTGGAAAAAAGCAGGGAGGCTTACTGTGTGAGCACTGTGGGACACTTACATCCAGAAGGCCCCCGTAGCGGAAGATGCTGAGCAGGGAGTGCACGTGGCTCTCACTGGTGAAGTACAGCCGAGTGCGGACGTGGCGACCCGGGGACAGAACTCCTCTTGAGTACCTAAACCAAAACCAGCCCACAGTCACTCACCTGCCAATCAACTGCCATCTGTCACACATCACACTTCTGTACACTGAATGCAATGACACAGCGCCACACTGAGAAATGTCAAAGGCAGCAGGACAGAACAAACAATGAGAGTGCTGGGCACAGGAGCAAAACATTTTGTGAAATCCTAATGGAGACACACAGTAGGTAGCTCATCACTCTACAGTGGCCCTGTGCAGGAAAATGCCTGGATGAAGCATCACCATCCAGCTACAATGGGTACAACCTTTGTGGCCCTGCACTTCTGGTATTCTGTCTCAATGTGCCTTCTCCATCTGCCTTCTAGTTCTGGGAGCACCAACATGCCTTCCACCTGGAGTCCTTCAGTGTGTGCTCAGCACCTCCTTCCACAACAGTACACTCTTCTGGCATGGGAACCACCCCTGCTCCACAGCTGCCCTCCCCACTGCCAGCAGCATGCAGCACAAGCCTTACAACGGATGTAGTTTGTTGACAGACTCATCTTCATGAGTTCTCTGTAGGTCCAGCTGGATCTTTTTAATGAGAGGAAGACAAAAGCCAATAGCAATCTCCAGTTTCTCCTCCTTATTAATCCCATATTCCTGCAGGAACAAAATAACAGATACCCTGAGCCCTGGTTCTTTGCCAGATCCTCACATAAAAGGCCACTTCAGTCCGCAGCACCACTGGTTAAGCAAGGACAAAAAGAGAAATGTCACTCAACACTTTTCACTTTTTTTTCCCTCATGTATTGCAGGGGGTAACAGAGGACTGAGACTTCCAAGAACCCCAGTTATGTCTGGACATGACTATCACTATCCTCAACAGCTGAGAGTGCAAGGACCATGAGCGAATCTTAGATCTCATGACATGCAAACTTATACCCTGAGCTAGCATGAGCATTAAAGCAACAACTGCTATTAGCAAAGATATAAACTGCAGTGCTGCACTGAAAACAGCCAGACTGCACATCACCAGCAACACTGAAAAGGTTTAGACCACTTCTGCTCTACAGGGGCAGCTGGACCTTGCTGGCAGAAACTCATCCCATATAAAGTAAACTTTGTCAGAAGCAACTCAACATTGGACACAGAACAAGTCCTAGTTTGACAAGAATAACAAACTTGTCAGAACTTTAACACAGAAATCTCCCTTCACTTCCACAACCCTACATGTGGAGAGGATGGAATGTTGCTGTAGCACACACACACAGCTTGGAGCTGTGCTGTGATGCACTGCAGCAAACATGGAAAAGCTGCTGCATCAGCTGCTCATTACTCTGACCCTGCCAGAATCCTCAACCAGTAGCTCAGCCCTGCCACATTTCAAGTCATAAATGGTTCTGGCCTTATACAAACACTGAGACAGATCTGAGAAACACCCTACTGTGACAGGCTGCCTTGGCAGTTAATGTGCAAGAGAATCGAGACAAAACACAAAGGCAAAGGCTCAGAAATTGGTGGCACAGGCATTGTCATACAGGCTCTACCTGGGGTATGATCACATCTGCCAGGGCTTTGGAGAGCTTGAAGAGTTCAGTTGTGCCTTCCAGTTTCAGTGCACAGTTGTGCTGTACATCATACTTGATGCAGTCATATATATCAGGGATCTTGCTGATGTCATAGCGCCCATTCTTCATGCGGAAATCTCGCTCCAGCTTACTCCAGCGTTGCAGCATCAGTTCCAAAGTCTCACTGTGGTACAGCTGCAGGTCTAAAAAGCAAAGGACAGCAAACAACATTCACATCCTAGAGCCACAGAATCACAGAACCCTGGTTATTGCTGCAGAGATTTCAAGGGCCAGCTGTGACTGAGTTCTCCCAGCATGAAAGGGCTCCAATTCTTGTGTCACCCACAGGAATCCTAGTCTGGAAAAGCCACTGGAACTGTTGCAGGAGTTTTAACCTGCAGCAACAGGCTACTTCTGAAATGCTTGAGAAAAATGAAACCGTTTGCCTAGTTGCTTAGGTCTGCCATACATGCACATATCATTTCCTTTACATTAGAGCTCTCTTTAACAGTAATTGAAAGCTGAGCCTTCCACATCAATAAGCACATATGGAATTACACTTTACAGTTCCTTTGCTACAGACAATCATAAGCCCTAATGGTATTTGGGAGCTCTGAAGATGTAACAATAAATTAATCTTTTCCAGTTCTGTTGCTCACCTGCAGATTTTGGGTCCTCCAGACGCTTTCGTATCTGGGAGGTGAGATTCTCAATCAGGGTGAACACCTGGTTACAGACCTCAACTGGGTTCTGGATAAAGGTCATGGAGTTGAGCAGAGAAGCACTGCCTGTAGGTGCTAGCTGAAAGAAGATTCCAGCAGACATTAGCCAGTCTTCACAAATGGGGAATGAAGAATGTCTGTCTTTTGCAGACATACTGCTTTCTGACTTGGGACAAAAGCTGTGCTCCCAGCTGAGCACAATAAGCTGGCCTATTCTTAGGAGTAGTCAGGCATGTCTTAAAATCTTCCTCAGGATCAAACTCAGAGGGAGCAAACAACTGCTCCCATTAGTCTGGGCCTCCCTCCACCTCCAATATCCACTCTTGTCTCATTTTGCTTCTGTGCTTGAGCAAAAGGGCTTCATTTTAAGTAGTTCTTTGAGATGATAAATATGTTCCTTAAAGGATTTCAGTCCAGTAATCACATTTCAGAGTCTGGGAAAAACAGTATTTTGGGGACTTGCTGGAGAAGCAGCAATAGTGCTTTCACTGGTTGTTGTGCTGCATGCAGCCCATGCTCTCCACTCTGCAGCAATCAGAACCTGACAGGACACACAACAATTTGTAACCAAAAGGGCTGCTCACGTGTGCATAGAGCAGGGATCTAGAATGCAGTGAGACACAGTCCCTGCCCACAGCAGCTGGCATTGATCTGAGCAGCATGCAGGAGCTCCTCCAGCACACTCACAGGAACAAAATGAACCGGGAATTATGAAGGGAGAAAAAGGCACCATGATCAGTCCTGAAGGGGACAGCAGAGCAACACTGAGGACTGTCACTCCAGGAAGGACAAGAGCTATTAACCTGCACACTTCCATACATATCCTGCCATTTTGACCAGAACTGATCTCAAACTAACCAAACCACTGTCCACATACCAGACTTCACATCAAACCACTGCAGCAATGCTATTCTCCTTTCAGATACAGGGAGCAATGAAGCCACACTGGTGCTTTACCTTTTCATAATCCTCTTCACAGAACTCAGCATCCTTCTGCATGATTTCATGTAGTCGAGCCTTCACTCTGTGCTGACAGCTGCTAAGGGAATCACTGTCACTGTCCAGCAGACCATTCATGTTGGCACTTTTCACCATCTGCACCAGGATGGGGGTCAGCTCTCCTTCCAGGGCCAGCAGACCCTAAAATCACACCGCATAGGACAAGATTTCAGCAACCAAGCAACAAAAATTCTGGTGGTTTCATGGCCAGAACTCAGGCAACTTAAGCGAAATCTCCACTGTCATTGAAGGGCAGTTTTACAGCAACACCCCCTCCAGTCAGAGATGACTCTGGCATGGTTCTAGAGCTGTTCAAGCAAAGGACAGCTCTGCCTGTGGCAGCCCCAGATTTATCCAGGCAACTATTGAGCAGGCTCAACTATCAAGCAGCTCAGTTTGCTTGAAAACACAGTGAATGCTCCAAAGACCAGCTAAGGCCACCGCAGGATTCCCCTTGGCTTTAGCTGCAAACGAACCTGTCTCCACCCTATACCTCACCAAAGACATATCATTTCCCTTTTAAATTCAGCAGGCAAGGAATAACCCTGGGCAGCCAGAAACATTCATTCTATAGGCAATCAATACTCAGCAGCACATCTGGTGTGCTCTAAGATCAAGCATCAGCAATAATCCATATGTAACTCCTTCCTGACTGAGAGTCCTGTCCTGGACAGGACATTAAAGGTGACAGGTGTGTGCAGATACACCAGATGTTCAGTACTGCCCCATACACCTGCTATTAGCGCAGTGTACCCCAGTCCATCCAACACAGAGGAGGAAAACTCCTTCCTCATCACCAGAGGTTTTCCTTTAGAACTGGCATATTTTAAGAGTAATGAACAAATGGATGCCCAAAAGAGAAGAAAGACCTTTGCAAAAGCTGCTGCTGTCATCTGAACTCTCCCCTCATCCGAGGCGTAGATCTTGAGATCATGGCGATACGTGCTGTGCAGCCTGAGCAAGCCACAGCCAGGGAAACCAGCATAATCGCCTGCAACCAAGGACAACTCAAGATTTATATTCTCACACCTGCAAAATTACCAGCTGAATATATTGGTTTACACAAACAAACTTTATTGTAGTAACAAAGTTATGTAGAGAACCAGTCACTTGCATAGGCAGCATTTATGCTGCTCCAAAATAGACAGTTCTAGCTATACACAAGGACTAGAAATGTAACAAAGTCACTGCTTAACTTGGGAAAGTTCATTTTGAGGAAAAAAATGAGCATCCCCCAGTTAAGTCTGATGCTGCCCAAATTCTGCAGCAAACTCTACTGAACACCCTGTAGTAGTTCTGATAGCCTGAATACCCTGGTGCAGAATGAAGATGCAAAAAAAAAAGCACTTCCTTCTGCTTAGTTTCTGCATGAGAGCAAATCCTGCAGCCCTCAGAACTGCAGGGAGGGTGGTTCAGCAAGGAAGTTTCCAAAGTAGGTCCTGTACGGCTACAATTACTTTGTGGAACAAATTGCCAGTTTATTTCTCATGTCTGAGTCAACCACAAGAGTCAGATCAGAAATGGAGGAAAGTAATTCATGAAGCTCTCGAGTCTGACCTCCAAAGACAGTGCAGTGGTCACTGTTTGCTGCTACCTGGAATCCCAGGGCAATTCTGCACAGCACCCAGTCACACCGTGTGACAAGACAGGAACACTAACTACTCCCAGCCCAGAGCTCACAACTCAGAGAAACACCCTGACAGACGGGCACCAGCCACAAGTCAGATGTATGTCTTGGGAAAGCTGCCAGGCTCTCCCAAGACACACTGAAGTTTAACAGCAGACCTCTTGGGTCAGCTTAGGGATCTGGGTACAAAACCCACCTGAATTATTTATCCCTACCACGCCAACTCAAAAGAACAAAAACTATCCCAGAGGCTGTATACAGCCACAGACGCCTGAGCAGCCCTCGCCTGGGCTGGGCAGGACCAGGGGCACCTGGCCAGACTCACCTTGGCCCCCAGGGTACATGCAGCGGAAGGCCCGGCCCAGCTCCTCAGCCTGGACTCTTCCTGCTGGGGTCAGCTCCCCACCCCACTTCAGCACCAGCAGCAGCGAGGGGGAGGACTCCCGGCGAGCCTCTAGGAGACAAACAGCCATTCACCCCATCAGAGCTCCTATCTGAGCTTGCCGAGGGAGGAAGAAGAGGCTGTCATCAGCACCTTGCACACAGCTCTCAACACAAGCCTGACCCAAGCCCCCCAGGAAACAAATCAGCAAGTAGGAAATTCAGAGTCACTACTGTTTGAAGGATGACATTCATAAAACTGGAAATGCAAGCCCTGTAGAGCCAGCCAGGGTGTACTGGAATCCCTGCAATCCTTCCTATGATGTGAGCAAAGATAAGATGTGGGTCACCAACTCTGCTAGCATGTCCAGAGGCCTATACACAGATGGTGGCTGCACTCCCACCTGAACTCTGGGCTTAAAGATCAGGTTTAGGTAGCACCATTAGGTTTCTTTACCTTCATCTTCACTCGCAGCTTTTGGATGTCCATGAGGAAGATAGGTCAACTGAACCTTACGGTTAATGCCAGAAAAATGTCCATACCTGTCACAAGGGATGGAGAAAAAACCACTGAAACAAATCAACTCCACCCAACCTTTGCCCAGAGGCCCCCAGGCAGTACACAGCAGAAATATAGCACAAGCAAGAGACTTTCTGCTACAACACCCATAGCATGGAACATGATTTTTGTCATCTCCCTGTGACCCAGCACAGACCCCCACAAAAAGCCAAACAGCTCCCTCAAACAAAATTCAAAGATACATTGCTTTACTCTTCTACCAAGAGCACTCTGTGCTGTCATTCCTCACTACGGCTTTAAACTCTTATCTACATCTTTAACAAGTGGATTAATGAGATCACAGAAAAAACCACTCTGACAGATGCTTTGAGGATAACCATGATGAGCAGAAAGAGCAGAGGAGGTGATCACAGCAAAAAGTCCTCCTCTGTGCTCCAGAGACATGGCCTGAACACAGGCTGTGTGTGCCATAGCCAGCTGCAGCCTGAGAGGAACCCTGTTTTGTTTAGAAGCTGTCAATATCACCACATTTTTATTTTGACTGTACAAAACCTCAGAGGACATAAACATCTTTTCATGTTTTCCAAGCTCTTTTTTGCTAAACTTTTGGCACCAGGACAACTTTATTTAAAACAACTTGATTCCAATCATATCAAAATGCTTCATACCAACATAGTCCATCTAGGACCCCAGTTCCTCTCCTGCAGCAAAGAAAGCTCAGTTTTGTCTCAAGTAGTTTAGCCAAACACCACACATGCTTGGGACAAGGACCAGCAGGGTTTTGATGTCAAGGAGAAAACGTGAGGAACATGGTGCCTTTGCTGTACAGTTACTAACAGGGCACAGAGGAAACCCCCATCTCTGGGCACCAGCAGCACAGCTTGTTTCCGTATCATCCTCTGAGGCAAACCCGCAGTGCCCTGAGACAGGAATGCTTACATCTCCAAGACACTCTTCAGCTGCTCCAGTTTGGATTTCCTCTCCTCGATTTCACAATCACTGTGGGTTCCCAGCTCCACCACAAGCTGCCGTGCAATGTCCAGCACTTCCTGTTGGGAAGCAGAGAGCAATTCTGCCTCAGACTCACCAGTGTACTCCTGCAAGCCCTCCTAACACCTTCATCCAGAAGCAGGTCCATTGCAGACACTCCTCAGAGGCATGTCATTTCATAAGACACAGCTCAGGCAGGACAAACTTCCACACTGCAGTTTGCTTCATCCTCATGCTGTACTACAGCCCTGCTGAGAACCAAGCAGGTACCTCCAACTGCCCCACTCCTTAGCATGGACCCATCTGTCACCAGAGGCAACCACAGCCTGGTGGGCAAGCTGCATCAGGTCATCTCCATCCCACAGTGTGCGCATCAGGCAGCAGAAGTTTCCACTCTGCTCTCCTGCTGTCACCCAGCTGAGTGGGCCCAGGGTGCAGAATGGGACACAGAGCACCTGTGTGACACACTGTTGTCCTTTTGGAGGTCTGTACCCTCCCAAAGAATTGCTTGGCACCAGGATCTGTATTTCCTGCATATCCCACACAGTAACCCCAGAAGGCACTTCCTCACCTGTAGCTGCTCTGGTTTCTTCAACTTCAACTTTCCTGTCTTGTAACCATCATATTTCTCAAATAATTCAAAGAACCTGAACAGACAAAAAAGAATGCTGATCCATTTTCTGCTGTTTCATAACACAAGGAGGGTCATTCCCACATGTGCCTTCAGTCTCTATTCTTCAGGGGGAACCAGCAGGCTGCTGGCTCTTCCCTGTGCTTCAGAAATTCTGAAAAAACAAGTGTTTTTCAAAATACAACCAGTAAGCAGATACTAGCTTCCAATTTAGTGAGGCACTTCCCTTTTCAGCATCTACCACACCTTCATTCTCCCTTCCAGTGTTCACACAAAAGGTGTCAGGATCCTTGTGAGGAAAGGATCTCAACTGGTCAGAAAGCATTTGCTTGGATGGGCCAGGAAAAATACTGCCTCCTATGCACTCAGCCCTCTGCTCCTGCTTTAGAGAATAGGCCCTCATCCTTTTCCAGGAGCAGAGCACCTTTTTCCCTTGGCTCTTACCGGGGATGTTTCACTTCCATCTTCATCTTCTGCTTCGGGGTGCGATCTCCATGACGGATGACTGCAATAACACAGCGAAGCTCCATCCTGGGGAAAGGTAAAGAGGACAAATGTGCCCTTACACTCCAGAACTGCCACCAGGAAGGAGCTTCCTATTGCTCATTCAGTTCCATTCTTCTGACACCTACTTTCCTCAGCAGGGCTAGAATTTCTCCCAGCCTAAACCAGACCCAAGTGCCACAGCTGCAGAGGGAGTCAGAGCTCTGCAGACACTACTGAGGTGAGGGGTTTCATACCGGTGTACAAGTACGCTGAGGATCACAAAGAAACTTTTGCCTTTGATCGTTTAGCCTTATGTGCCAGAAAACCAGTAAGGTCAAAGGTATCAAATGAGGGGCTGCCAAGCATATTGTTAATGATGAATGTTTCAACTAAGTGTTTCCACCTATTTCACTGGTAGCTCAACATGCACTTTCTCCATGTAGCAGCCAGCTACAGCATCTGTCCTGATCTGTTTCCTGTCCTGATGAAGAATTTGGACCTCTGAAAGCCATGCAAGCAGTTTCTGTTATTTCTTCAGTTACTGCTCATTTGCATTCATTAAACCTACAACTAATCTCCAACCTATCACAACTTCCACGTGCATAGCTAAGCCTTTCCACAGGCATTTCAGGGTTGCAAGCAGCACAGCAGCTGGAAGATGCCATGCTGCTAAGTGGTGTCAGGCCCTTGGACAGGGTTTGTCACACTTTGTCCCTCACACAGTCATCACTGGCATCTTTTTGAGAAGACAGCAGGTACTCACATGGTGCCTGAAGTAGTGGGGACAATGGGGATGTCTTCTGCCTCTGTTGGGATGGACCAGGGGATATGAAACTGGGGAGCCAACTCCCTCATGATTATATTTCTGAAAGAAATCAAAATACAACACTCACAAGAAAATCCATTCCCTTAGTTCTCCACCTCCTCCTTAGCAGTCCTGCTGGAAGATGTGAAGGGAGCCACAGAATTTCCCCTCACTTTCATTGCAGAGACACCTACCACACTGTGGGCTATTTAGGGCACCCCAAAGGGGTACCAGTTTTCCCCACATCACCAATACCACAACTGGGCTCAGCGTGCAATGAAAAGTCCTGGAAGATATATATCTATATCTAGCTGTAGACAAAGACAGCTAATGCCATTGCAGGCAGGAGTTCCAGGGCTTGAAAATAACCTGTTCCTCCAAGAGCCAAGCTTTCACCTGCTGAGCAAGTGACTCACATGAACCTCTTGCAGACTTCTCTGACATACTGACCAAGACTCCATATTTCATTTTACTTTGCTGTGAGTTACCTTACCACCTTATCAAAACTCAGATTGCTCATACCCAAGGATTTTGGCACAGTCATCATAATACTTCATGGAGTTCTTCACAAAGCTGAAGCCATTCACATCACAAACAAAGGAGTGGCCGTTGGCCCGCAGGAGGTCGAAGCCACACACGGTTTGCTGCAGGAGGAAGCAGAGGACAGGGCACTTGGACACAGGAAGGAAGCAGTGGGGGACAGCAGCGACCCTGCCAGCAGGGCATGCACAGACCCAGCCAACGCTGCCCAGCTCAGCCCTGCTGGTGCTACAGCCATCCTGCAGTCCATGCCCACCTCACAAGCCTAGAACAAGTGTGAAGACATGCTGTTAGTCAGCCCTTTACCCCCTTACTGCTGAGTGAAAGGCCCTAACCACAAACCCCCAGAGGAAGCCATCAGGGCCAACCCCCGACTTCCCAGAGCTCTAAGGACCTGAAACAGAGCAGCTCCTGGATATCCTGCTCTTCCTTTGAAATCCAATAATTTTGAACCAGATTGACAAGCATGGACAAGAAGTGCAGTAGGCAAAGACACCCATCACTAAATGGAAAAGGCTACAAGGTAGAAAAGAGACCAAATCTGCATCAGCCCAACCACATGGGGTGCCAGTTGCAGTGGAGCAGGAACAAGGAGTCCAGTGCTTCTTCCACTGATACTGCTGAACATGTCATGGAACCATACCTAGACTCTTACTCACTCTACCCAACTCTAAAATAAAACATTAATTTGCACCAGAGCCATATTTAAAAAACCCAAGAACTAAAAAAAAACAAAACCAGACAAACAAAAAGCCAACAAACAAAAGAACCAAACACAAGTACCAAAACACAAAAAAGAAAAAAAAACCAAGAAAATAAGACCAAATTTTCCATATAAACAAAAGCAGGAAATAAGTCAAGACAGGATGAGCGCAGGTCAGATAGAGAGCATGCTCAGGATTCAGTATTGAATGCTCAGATGTATGTGGGGCACCAGGCACCGACCGGCCCAAAGGGCATTTGCTGCAGGCCCTCCTGCCGTGCCAGCCACCTCTGCCCAGCAAAGTGCCACAGCCAGCAGGACCAACAACTGGCACCAGGCACAGAGGACTGCCATGTCTGAGACATGCCAGGATGACAAATTTTAATCCCAATCCTGACACATATCAGACATTTGTGGAGTCCTGCTTGCACAGGAAAGAAAATACGGACCTTAAAGGCTACGCAGACTTTACGGGCAACGAGTTTCTCCATGGCAGTCAGCATGACCGGGTAGCGAATCTCCTTGCCCTCGCTGTCCCGCTCCACCTTCCCGTCCAAAGCAGGGGATTTGCGAGCCTCTGCATGGGCATAGTCCGGCCCCACCGTGTACACCTGCAGTGGGAGTGAGCTCACCTGACACAGCTACCACGACTAACTGCAGCTTCCAACAGGTATTCCTGCTGCAGACGCAGAAAAGGAGATGAGATGGTCTCACACATTCCTCCTGGCGTGATCCACAGAGCACCTGCTCCCCACTTTGGGGGTCAAACTGGGCAGTCAGCACCTCAAAGCCTGAACACACATTCCAGAGCCTATGTAGGACTAAGCAGAATAGCTGAACTTTCAGCTCCCCCAAGCCTGACAAAGGAAGGCACCAGGCCAGGCTTTTCCTCACCTTTACATCAGTGCCATCCGTAGGCATGAACTCCTCATAAATGTAGGAGCCTGTCTTCCTCACACTGCTCTCTGGGGAGTACACACTGCTCCGGCTTCCAATCTGAAAGCACAGAATAAACACCTCAGGGAGGAGCACGGGGATCCTTTTCTTAGATGGAAGCAGAAAAGCATAAGTTTCATCCCATAAGTAGAGAATTTAGCAGACTTGATGGATCAGCATCTCAGGCTCCCCAGATGTTACAGCACACTTATTCATGGAGGACAAAAGACACCAGAATGCAGGCAGCGGGAATGTCATTTTCCAGGCTTTAAAGAGGAGAAAAGCTATTATAGACCATTAATTTGTCTCCAATCACTTCAAGGACATGGAACAAAAAAAAAAGTGAAAAAATACTGCAAGGTAAGGAGCCTAACAAACATGCAAATGAAAATAAATTATGACAGGTGATAATCCAACCAATTTAATTTCCTTCTAGAACCATGACTGATTTTATCAACATCAAGGATAATGTTGTTTTCATCTGTAGTAAGGCTTTGGATACAGACTCAAGAGGGATACCTGTATCTTACCTAAGGGAACAATCATTTTAGGTTTATTCATGCCAGATGTGTAACTGATTGAAAAAAAATATATCACACCTATTACTGTTCACTGGAAAAGTGGGGGACATGAGTAAGGCAGATTTCCTGTGAAATCTAGGAATAAATGCTGCTTTTATCACGTGTGCAAGCTCCACTAAATGGGAAGAGCAAGAATGAGGTTAAATGAAAGGAATGTAGGTTTTTTGAAAAATTCATCGTGATAAACCCAGGAGAAATCAGCATGCAATTCAGAAAGGGACACGGTGCTCCATGACTACAGGATAAATGTCACCAAGAGGATGGGGAAGGTGAAGTCAGCACTACCACTAAAATATGTCCTTTTGTGGTTCCCAGGTAGATGCACTTGAACTCAAAGTTCTAAGAAGGTCTAAAGTTCCCCCCACAAAACCCTCCTTTGCCCTTCCCCTGCCCCAACACTCCCTCCTGAAGCCACACGAGTCTCAGATCTGTTGGTTCCAACAGCAGCTCTGGAGACCCCTCCTCACCTTGCGGAAGAGCCGCTGGCTGCCCCCACCTGCTGATGTCGGGTAGTAAATATACACATTGTGGTCTTCAGCACTGACTGGCTTCTCTACAAATGGCTTTGGGAACACAGCTCCGTTTACCTCCACGTGGTCCTCTCCTTCCACCAAGTTGCACTCTGAAGACAAAGCACAGCAGCAGCTCATCGGGAAAGGTGACACAGTCCTAGTGCAGAGCCACAGCCCCTTCCAGGCCCATCAGTCGGTTTTGTGCTGGGACCTTTGCCCACAAGAAAAACCCGGGAGACTTATGAGTCAGGCCTCCTTGAGGTGACTGCCAGTATCTGTCCTCTGCAGACTATCCTAAACAGCAGAGTCTGGGGAAATGGCTTTCAGTAGAAGGTGGACACTGACCTTCTGGTCGGTCAGGATCTCGATTGAGCACAGCATAGCGGGGCAGGTCTATTCCCTCTTCCTGAAGGATCCGATACACTTCACGCCTGTGGAGGACACAAGAGCATCAGAAGAGTTTAGAAGGTCCTCAGTACACACCAAGGGAAAGACTTCACTCCCACTGATGAGAAACACAGTCAGATGAACACAAATACGCATCAAGACTGCAGGTACTTCTAGCATATGCTTTCTGGCCGAGTCCCACAGGCTACAGGGCTTGCTGCAGTCCTGCTCTGGACACAGATGGCCCACAGTAAATTTCTACCTGGCCTAAACATGGATGCTCAATTATTAGCATGTGTCCAAAGCACAGCAGCACACCCAGTACACACCACCGGCCCAGACCCATCCTGTTGGAGAGTGCCCTGTCATGCCAAGCTGTCCGGTGCCCAGGCCTGGCAGAAGCAGCAGGAGCCTTCTTTCATCTTGTGCCAAGGGGCAAATCCCAGTTCTTTCACTAGTTACACCTTGGGATGCCTGCCAGCACCCACACAACACTGCTCGCCACCCCAAAGACAGGGCAGGAGGTTTAGGATCTGTTAGGAGCCCTACTCACACACAGCCAAAGCAGCCTGGCTATAAGGGCCCAAGCACACAGCTGCCAGTGGCCTCTACCAACAGGTGACTGAGAAACCTCATGTGTCTGAACAACACAGGTTCCACAGATTCTGACCCAACCTTGCTCCCAATTTCTGACCCAGAGCCCCATCTCACCATTCGGCTCTCCTGCTTAGAGACTAGTCTTTTTGCTTTAGTCGTGGCAGCCTTGTTCTGTGAGAACTCTTCCACTCCCTACATCCCAGCCACTCCTTACAAGACATTTACACCAGAAAACAAAGCATGATTTTATATGGTCTCAATGGTTTTACCCTAAAAGCCATTCCCCTCCATGCTTTGGAGAAACCCCAAAAAGCCACTGTTAAGGTCCCCTTCCTCCTCATCTCACTCCTTTGTGACCAGAAAAATTAAGATTCCACAGCATGCTGAGAGGAATCAGAGGAAGAGGGAAGGGGCTTTAGCATCCCACAGACACCCACCTGTCCTGGATGTAATACTGCATATCAAGGTCGTTGATCAGAAATGGTTTGCACAGCTTGGCATAAGCAACTGCCTTATCCAGGGGGAATCCTGAAATACAGGGTGAGGACAGAGGGGAGGGCTGAAAGGAAAATCCCTTGTCCACAGCTCAAGCAGGCTAAGGACTGCTAGAGATGTGTTACCTTTGGAGTGGAAGGATATCAGGCAGTCACAAGAGGGCCAGTTTTCTACCGGTTCATTCAGAATAACATCTTCCCCCATGATCACCACTGTGATGTACTCAAACTTACACAGACGTTCCAGAATCTGTGTCATGGGCTTTGACTTGGACTTTTTGGTCATGGCACAGATTCCCACCACAATCTGCCGTTCTGGAGGCTGACAGAGAGGAAGACAGAAATCAGTTTAGTAGCATTTAATATAACACTGAATAATGGCCAAAAGCAGTCAGGAGCTAGAGATCATTTTTTCTGCATCGTGCTCCTGGAGGTTATAGAAAAAATGAATGTTTCCTCTCTGCAGAGACACCTTTGCCCTTTTCACACATGCCAGAGTTCTCCCCAAAAATTTCCCTGGTGGAACAGAAAGACTTACAGGAGTGTCAGGTGAAGTCTCTAGAACAAAGGAATCCGCTAATTTCCCCAAATCAGATCTGCAAGCAAAAAAGCTGGATTTCCTGAGGCAGTGAGTACAGCAGCATGACGTAATGTGTCCTGTCATCAATGCCACTGCCTGTCCCCTGCAGTCCCAACTACCTGCAGCCCCAGCAGGAACCATGCAAAACCTGGCTGAGACCCAGAGATCCCACACAGGTGCTCCAGCCCAGAATGCTGGGACCTCCTTACCGACTCCTCCTCTTCGTCATCTTCAAAGAAATCGGTTTCGTCTGTCTTCATGTTTGATCCCAGAAATTCTGTCTCATCATCTCTGGAACCAAGAACAAACCTGGGAGCAGAGTTCTCTCCCTCACTGGAGGTCGTCAGGGACGACATTGCAGCTTTGGTGGGCGACCATCCCGCTCTGGAATCACAGAGTGCAAAAGGGAGAGGGGTCAGAGGCAGCTGCACGGTGAAGCAAACGATGGTGGGGAGGGCAGGGACTGAGCCAGCATGAGGGAACCCAGGGACAGTGCTGCCCAGCATAAAACGGGGAACAGAAGACATTCTCAGGGTGGGAGGGGATTTGGAATTCTGGATCAATTTAGATAAGCAGCTCCACTTTGCAATTAACCCCCTCGCACTGGGAAAGCGCTACCACCAGCACTGAAATCATGTAACCCTTACAGTGATGCATGTCCAACCGCTGCCTAAATCATGGACAGGGGACACTCTTGCAGACTCATATGCCCAACAACATCAACTGGGACTCCAGAGGTCAGGATAAAGCTCAGGTCAGTGACAGTGATTTTCCAATTGCCAATTTTCATCCCTTCAGCTCAAGAAGACCTACAGTAACAGAGAGAACAGTTTGAGAGGTGAAGGAGTTTGCAGGGAGGAGGAAAAACAAGTGAAAACTCTATGGCAGGGAAAGAGGACACAGGGGGAGCATCAGCAACAGTTTGGGTAACAGGTCAGGATGTCTGGGTTTGCAAGCTGGCACAGAAACACAGAATACACCAAGTTGGAAGGGATCCATCAAGTCTGAGTCCAGCTCCTGGCCCTGTGCAGACATCCCAAAAACCCCACCATGTGCCAGAGAGCATTATCCACAGGCTTCTTCAACTTAGACAGGCTTAGCGCTGTGACCAGTGCAGAATGGAGCAATCACCTTCTTTGACCTGCTGCTGAATATATGCTATGAGTTAGAAACACCAGGAAAGGATCATGTCCTCCAGACTCACCTACAAGAGCAGCCCTGCCTGCCTCAGAGGAGACAGAGTCCGAACACACCATTCAAGTGACCTATCCATGCAAGGACACAGCTGTTCACCGTTGGCCTAAGCTCCACCCAGCGTCAAGCAGGCATCTTTCACTGTGCTTTTCCTTATTATAAAGTAGCCAAAAGCATTCCTCCTGCATAAGGATCCACCGGGGGAGCAGACATCGACCCAACAGAAACCACACAAGGGGACACAGCAAGCCTGGACTTTGTACATACCACACCAAGGACGATCTCCTCCATCCCAGTCCCATGCACCCAGCCCGGTGCTGCTGCTGCCACAAAACCCTCAAAGCACAGCACACACCTGGCACTGAAACACCTGGAGCAGCACGAGTCAGAGCTGATACTCACCATCAGTGCTCGCTGCTAGTGGGAGGAACAGGGCTGGCAGACCAGGCTCTAGAGGTATTTACTGTGCACTCCACATAGCCCTGCTATCTCCAGAGGAGGACAAGAGTAGCATTCCCAACATACTCAGGAACCATTCTCATGCCTGTGTCCTGCTGCCTCAGCATACCAGTGCAGAATGAACCCTTAGCAGGTATACCATCAGCTTGAAGGCTGATGATTTAATGAAGTGAAGCAAACCAAGCAAAAGGAGGAAGAGGGTTATTTTCTCCAATCCCTTAATCTCCCCTCCCTCCTGGAAAAAAACCAGATAAGCAGCAGGAAAACCTTTGCCCCAAGAACTCAGAAAGCAACAACTTCTCTATATTCCTCCTCCTACCCCACAGACAAAGCCTCTTCCTTGCTCTGTAGCTCTGTTTCAAGGCTGTGACACATCATACTCACATCAAGTAAAAACTCAGAAGCTGACAGCCACTGATAGCACAGGCGTGCCCATGATGTTAATAAGGAAAGCCTCATGATTTCAGGTGTGAGGGGAGGGTTACCTGGAACCTTCTTCTAGTTTTTCTTAAAAGTACATTCCTTACCATAGACTTATACCAAGCAACTACAGACTCTTGATGAACAGAACTTTTAGCTACAGGCACAACTAAGGCATTAAAAACTCAGACTGTTGCTCTTAAATGGACACAGGCAAGCGGAGTTCTATTCTGGTATCTAAGGACAGTGACAGGAAGTTTGCCCACCATACCTGAGCCAGCTCTAGTGCTGAACTGGCACGGGGCCCATATGCCAGCAGGGTGGCAATGCCATCACAGAACCCTTACAGGCTCCTGCACAGCACACAGCCCACACTTTTCACACAGGAGAAACTACATGCCAGTCGCTACACCCGGAGACTTTCCTGCACTTACAAGAAGGGCAGCTGTGATCTGCTGCACAGTCATACCAAAGGTTACCAAAATTACCCCATCAGCAATCCAAATCTGCTGACACACAACCCTAAATGGAGCCACAGACCTTGCCTCTGATGGCCTGGGACTGTTTCAGCTCCCTAGACTGCCCTGTATTAGAGATAAGAAACCATATAGGAAATTGTTTTCCTGTTCCCCAGCAGATCATTCTGGTGCTGTTCAGATAAGGGTGCTAATAGAGTAAAGAAATTCTTCGTGCCCTACTTCTGAGGTACCAGGCATTTAAGGTGAGAATATGTGATTAGGTCTTGTATTTTGTACTCAGTGTGGCATTAACCAGTCAAAGAGTGGGCTTGCATGTCAGGGTTTTGTTTCATTTCATTTTTTAAACACAAGGTGCAGATGCAGGTGCAGTCCCTGTAGTGCTGGGCTGACAGAAAGGAACATGACTTATACCACTGCCAGTGGCAGGAATTTGGGATTACCCTAGCAAGCAAAAAGCCTGCAAGCATGCTCCAACTTAGAGACCCACAGCCTAGCCAAGCCAGGTCAAGTACATGCAGGATCACGACTTCTAAAAATACACACAGCTGGCATTTTAAAACACTTATGCTGACAATGTCTTGTAGAACTATCTGAAACCACTGATGGCCCTACAACCAACCAACCAGACCAAAAAAAACCAACCCTGAAAGCTTAGGCCCTGAGCAGTGAAGTACCTTTGCATGCATGACCACTAATACACCTCTGCATGACCAGTGACACACCGAGAGTTACTTCCACTGTTACAAGGGCTGCTTGCACTAAGGTTAAATCCATACTTTAAAATGGTGAAAGCTGTGCTCCTCTCATGGGCATTTTATTGCTTCAGAACAGAAACATCACCTGTCCTAGGGCTAATAATTAAAACTATTTGGACATGGTGTATCAGGGAAATCCCTCTGTTCTGGTAATACAGGCGTTCGAGGTGTTCACAGCCAGGAAGGCGCAGCGGTGCTCAGCGGATGCCAGCAGCGCTGCCGGGGAGCCGGTGCGAGCCGCGTCCGATGCTGCTCGTAACGAAATATTTAATCACACTCGTGGGACCTGTAGAGCGTGAAACTGCTCAGCACCGGGAACTCCCCCGACACGGCCGCTGTCACTGAGGGTTTACTGCGGGGGGCTGCTGCCGCTCTACCCCGCGCACACCGTGGCGGCTTCACAGACACCGGCCCGCCAGGCTCGGGAGAGACAGCGGCCCCGGAAAGCGGGGCAGAGGCACAGGCGGGAGCGAGGACCGGGCCCGGAGAGCGGCGCGACCTCAAGCAGCCCCGCAAAGGGCGAGCCGCCACTGCCCGGGGAGCGGGCAGGCACCAGCCCCGCGCCGGCACGCACAGGCCCCGAGCGGCCTGGACGAGCCTGGGCCGCCGCTGCGCCCGAGTCCGGCGGAGCTGCCGCGCCGCCCGAGGCCGGACCCGGGCCCGGCGGGCACAGGCGAGCGGCGGCGGCGAGCCGGGGGGGCGGCACGGGACCGGGCCGCGTCTCGCCGTGGAGCCGCCGCTGCCGCCCACCTGGCGCTCCCCGACAGCCGCCGACAAACAGGGCCCAGCAGCGGCGCGATCGGCCACCCTACCCCTCCCCGCCTTGCGCTTTGCTTCACTTTGCTCCCCGACCCGGCCCCGGCCCTGGCCCCTCGGCCGCCCCTGACCCCCGGCGGCAGCAGGGGGCGCCACGCCAGGCGCCGCCATTTCCCTCCGCTCACCTGCGGCCTCCGAGCGCACCCTGCGCTGCGGGCTCTGCCGCCGGCCAATCACCATCTGCTTACGGCCGTAGGCAGCCAATCGGCGCGGAGGAGGCGGGCCGGCCGGGACGCGAGCGGGCACGGCATGGCGCCGCCTGGCGGCGGCGGCGAGAGATGCAAGGCGGCCGGGCGCACGTGGGCGCGGGCCCCCACGCCGGGCCCGTGCTGTAACGGCAGGCGCGCGCCTGCACCGGGGAGACAGGCGGCCGCAGCGGCCGTACCGGGCTGGGCGCACGGTTCTACCGGGCGGCCGCTTCCCGTGTCCCAGAGCAGCGCAAGTCTGCGCCAGCAGCTCCCGTCCCTCGGGGTTCTGCAGTAGCCAACGCAGCGCACTTCCGGGGCCCACCGGTGCGGCCCCGTCGGTGTGGCGGGCACTGCGGGAGGGCTGGTGACCGGCGAGAACAGGCCCCCCGACCCCGCGACCCATCGCGGGCCGCATCCCGTCGAGGAGCCGCGGTCGCCGCTCCCGGCTTCAGGTGGACGAACTTTGACCCGGCCGCCCCCGCCCGCCCGCCCCAGGGCGCGGCGAGGGGCTCCGAGGAGTGGGTCCCGGTGCGGAGCCGGCCGGTCTCGGCGCAGCCGCCCCTCCGGCGCTGTCCGGCGAGCGGTGCTGAAAGCGGCGGCAGCCCCGATGGGGCGGGGCGGGGCGGGGCAGCCAAGCAGGTGGCGGTGCCGCTAGGCCCCCCCGTGCCCCGCCGGCTCCCCGCCCCCGCGCTCCCCGCCGCCGCTCCCGTTCCCATTCCCATTCCCGTTCCCATTCCCCTCACGTCCGCTGTCCGCCCCGGCGCGCTTGCTCCGCCGCTCCGACATGGCCAGCACCTTCGCCCGCGCTCTCTCCTCTCGCCGCTCCGCCGGCCTCCTGGCCATGGTGGGCGCCGGCTCTCTCGCCGCCGGCTTCCTACTCGCCCGGGACTCGGTCAGCGCGGGCCACCGTCAGCGTCGGCGATACCCGCCCAGGTAATGCGCGCGGGCTGCGAGGGCGCACGGGCGGGGACGATCCCTGCGGCACCGGCACCGGCACCGGAGGCGGGCGCGGCGGCCGCCCCGCGGGTCGAGCCTGGGCGGCGGGTCCCGGGGCAGCTCGTGGGGACGGCGCGATGGACGCTGCTCGTCCATGGCGGGAAGGACCGAGAGGCCCTGAACCGGCCCCGGGGCCCCGGGCCGGGAGGGGGACGGAGCGGCCGCAGGGGCTCAGCCGTGTTGGATGGATCAACCTCAGGCTGCTGGTCAGCGGCCCCGCCGGCCCCCGAGGCGCACAAGGACACCTGCACAGCCAGGGAGCGCGGGTCCCGGCTCTGCGGGGCTCGTCGGGGTTGCCGCGGGCCTCCTTGGCGGGAGCCGCGCCGGCAGGGGCTGTGAGGGCTGCGGGGGCCGCCCGGGCACATTCCCGTGTCCGGGGGTTGGCTCGGGGCGCTGCGGTCCGGGCAGGGAGCCCCGAGCTGCCAGCTGCCCTGGGTGGTCCCAGAGTACCAGGACGAGCCGCTGCAGCCGGGGACATGGGGGAGCGGGAGGGGACAAATGCTTGACAGTACGATTGGGGTCCTGGGGGACTTCCCGTGATGACCGGAGGGCAGAGATTGGGGTTGTTTGGGAGACAGCAGTGCTGGGACCGCCAGTGCCGGTGGGGACATACCCCAGGCTCGGCCCAAGAGAAGCCAGGGAGACTTTGCCAATGTCCTGGTAGGAACGGGATGGAGCAAAGGGTCCATTTTGTCCTGCTGGCAGAACACCGAGGATTTCTAACTGTGGGAGCTGGTGTCAGAGCAGCCCCTGGCCCGACCTCATCTGGCTGTACCAGCCTTCCCACGTGCCTCCCTTTGGGACAGGGACTCCTCTATTGAAAAGAAAAGCTTTGCTGGCAGGTCCTGCCTCTTCCCTCTCTGGGCCAGTTTTTAAAGGGAGAGCTGGAGGGGCCTGTGGACGCTGAGCAAACAGCCCCATGTGTGGATTTTGGATGACAATGAGATGTGCAGTCAGGAGTTGTGGGAGGTGGGCTCAGGGTTGAGCTGGGCCAAGTGGGCGCATACACAGCCACAGGCTGGCTTAGGGGTGCTTTTGAGGTAATGCTGGCTCTGCAAGAGCCCTGGCTCTATTTGCACACCCAGCACCTGATCCCTTAAGCCAGATAAGTGTCACAGCTGCAGCACAGTGCTAAGGTTCAAGCTCTAGACCAGAAGCTTTCACGTCACTCCCCTCCAAATGGCTCTTTGTTGCCCCAGGAAGCCCACGAGGGCCAAGTGCCTCACATTCTCATGGTTCCACTCTCCATGGCTTGCCATGGCAAGTGGGGTGGAGGAGACAGAGGATGGTCCTGCCCAGTGTTTGTGCTGCCAGCCCTGAGGACCACAGAGCAGCACGGTGCCAGACAGGACTGGGCACAGTAACTACCTGTGCCTTACAAGGGCTAGGCAGAGTGGGAACGGCGCAAGGGCCAGAAGGGGAGAGGGATGTGGTGGCCACCAGCCAGTCCTTGTGCTGGCAACAGCTGCTTGGCTTAGCACATCCTAGAGGCAGGCCAGGAAAATGAGGACTGAGTTTTCCTGCCCATCCCAACACCAGCAGAGACTGTGCACAGGGAAGGAGCAGGGTGGGAAGGAGGCAGCACGTCGCTGCTCCGAACACCAGCAGCTGCTGCCATCCCTGCACCAAATGCCGACAGTCAGAGCGGTGTGTTGCTGTGCTGCATTGCAGACTGGGAACCCTGGGCATGTGGAGGGCTCGCAAGGAGCTGGCTCTGGGGCTCTGGCAAGCTGCGTTGGGCTACAGAAAGTCGGGGACAGAAATTGACTGAGTTAATAGAATTACAAGGGCCGGATGTTATTGATTATTTACCTCCCAAGAGGGGGATGTTTTCCAGCTTTCTGAACAACTGCAGAGACACAGACATAGGTCAGGAGGGGATGAAGTCAAGGTGAGGCTGTGGCTGAGAAGCTCTAAAATGAGCCTCCTGGGGGGTTCTGTTCAGTTAGGAATGGTTTTGTGACAGTGCTGACACTTGAAAAGCACCTGGATGGAACCCTAGGAGTGAGCTGCAATCCCTCACTCTGCAGCTGACTTGCCCGAGGATTTTGCCCCTCCAATCTCTAAGTTAAAAACCGAGAGACATTGGCGGCAGCCCTGAGGGGTCTGAGCAGCACTCTGCAGCCTCCTTTCAGAGACACTGTGGTACTGATGGCCACGCTGGGAGGGCACAGGCACTGCCACCCCTGCCTTCTGCCACGGGGGTCCCGTGACAGGCATGGCCTGTCATTTGGGCCACCACGATGGGGCTCCCTGCAAAGCCCCTCCAGACAAAGCCCAAGCCCCTTCCTCCCTGCGTAAGCAAGCCTCGTGCTTGGCTGCCTGCCAGCTCCCAGCTCCATGCCATGACACAGGCTCTGCTGCTCACCCCACACACCCCCACACCTCTCCAGAGGCCACGTGTGCCTGTGACTGCCTGGGCTCCTCAGGCCGGTGATGGCAGGAAGGGCACTGGCAGCCGCCACATTAGAGGTGAAGAGCTGTGGGGAGGTGCAGGTGGCTGTCACTTCTGTAGAAGCTGCCCAGTCAGTGGACAATGGAGCAATAATCCCTGCTGGCCGCTGAGCAGGCCTGCTCTGGGTCAGGCACCTGCCTGCTCAAGGGCAGAGAGGGCAGCTGCAGCCCGAGGTCAGGGGCAGGACGGCAGCCTGAGGTGAGCACAGGACAGCGTGGGCGCCAGTGCTGAGCTGCACTCCTGGCACACATCCACGCCTCCAGCCTCTGCAGCTGGGCAGGAGCCACAGTACCACAGAACTGTGGAATCATGGAATCACTGGGCTTGGAAAAGACTTTTAAGATATCACTCGGTGCTGTGGCACAAAACAAAATTTTTGTGGGAACAAAATAGATGGTGCTGAAATGGTCATAATTTTAAAACCAGCCTTGGGGACTAAAACCAAGGGGTCAAAGCAGCCTGGGTGCAGCATCCTGACACTATGCCAGAGGACTCGTGGACACCCTGAGCACATGGTGGGAGCGTGGTGCCACTGCCAGAGCCCTCCAGTGCCAACCTGGACACAGCCCCCCCCAGCAGCTCTGTGGCACCACGGCGAGCACAGTGCCAGGTGCTCAGGACCTTCACCCCAGCATTACCCAGCTGCTCCTGGCAACACCCATCCGAGTTCAGGTGCTCTAGAAAAGCTGAAGAGAGGTTGCCCCAGTTTGCTGGCTGTGGTCTGGGGCTGTTTGGGGTGGGTGCACTCCAACCAGGTGCTCAGTCAGCTCTGCAGCAGGCACAGCACCTGCAGGCAGGAGCCTGGAGTCCCACAGTTTGCATGCTGAGCACCTCAGGGAAGGTGTAGACAGCTGTGGCAGACAGCATGCTTTCAACCCGCAGCATTCTCCTGCCTGCTGGGAGTAAGCTGGCTTTCCTTGGGGACCTCTACTGCTCCTGGGCATCCTCTGTCACTCAGAAAGCACAGCAAGTGGTCCCAGCATGCCCAGCAGCATGACCATGCTTGAGCAGTGGAGGAACCTGCCCAAGGGTCCCATTCTGGTCAGCAAATGCTTTTTTTACAAGCGTGTCACTCAGGGGAGACAGTGGCCAGCAGAT